ATTTTTCTAGCTTCCAATTTTTGAAGGCACCCCTTTCCCACTTCCACAACCAGACCTACCACACACCCCCGCCAAAGGGATAGGCAGGCCAACCATGGCACGGTAGAAAATGATTTATCAGCATTGTCCTGGTTCCAACCTTTTCCAGAACATTGGTTTTTCTGGAGTTTAGCTATTTTGATTCCAAAATAGCAAAATAACTAGTAAAGATATCATTTAGGTTTGATATAAATGGGATATAAGTTATGAAAGAAAACTAAGTTATGCACATTTGTATAATCTCAGAAAACTTTTTGTTTAATCTATACTAATAAAAGCCTAAGTGGTCCTCGTGTCCTTGTGCGTGACATGGAGGCAGGGCCCGGCGGCCGCTCTGCGCAGTGAGGCTTGGGGGTTCCGAGGCTCCGTTGGGTGCAGAGGCTGGCCCTGGCGTCTGCCACCTCGCGTGAAGGAGGCGGGTTGCAGCAGGGGAGGGCAGTTGTGGGCGATCGGGCTAGCATGGGGAGGGCAATGGGGGGCAATAGGGGAGGGCAGCTGGGGGCCATCGAGGTGGCGAGGGAGGGCAGTTGGGGGCCATGGAGGCTGGCAGGGGAGGACAGTTGGGAGCCATTGGGCTGGCAGTGGAACAGTTAGGGGCGATCAGGCAGGTAGGCAGGTGAGTAGTTAGGAGCCAGCAGTCCCGGATTGTGAGAGGGATGTCTGACTGCGGGATTGGGCCTAAACCACCAGTTGGAGAGGGTGTGGGCTGGGCTGAGAAACAGCCCCCCTCCCATGCACACATTTCATGCACTGGGCCTCTAGTATAAATATATTTTTTAAAAACCCTACTGGATATCCTCTTAATGTCATTAGGAAATGTGTTCAGTGTTTAAGGACTCCCTGATTACAGCGATTTGGTCCAAGGGAGGGGAAGGTGATTTAAATTGGTCAAATTAGAATATTTCACAGAATTTTTAATTTAAGGAGTCCCCCTTAACCCTAGGGACTCAAATACAATACTGTAGTCCTGGAACTATTTGGTCACAGCTTCTGCCATGTGGAGATAACCAATGAAATGAGGCCCATCATCTTTAAACAACACACACTCAACGAAGCATCTGACCTCAGAATGCCAACTCTACACTGCCTTTCTCGGCCACATCAGCCAATAAAATAGCCTCTATTGCTTAAGTGATAAGGTACATTAGTGTCGCTTGTAACTGAAAGAATCCTAACACAGAACTATTTTGCAGGGGGAGTGGCATGAGTGAGAGAGAAAGGGGGAATTAGCCAGATATAGACAGTTTAAGAATATGCAAAATGGAAAAAAAGGGGCAAAACTGTAATCAACACAGAGGCTGTTGAATAAGTTTGTTAAATAGAAATTCTTCGAGCACATTGTATTTGCAAGTCACTTTTGGGTAGTGAAAATCAACATCAAATTACATTTTAATTATGCTAAACTAGCAAAGGCATAGTCTCCCACAGTCAGGTAATACAATATGGACATAAAAAATAAACACTGAAGGAAATGCAAAAAGAAACAGACAAAACCACAATAAAACAAAAAGAACTTGAGTCACCATTACCATTCTTGCTGCACTCAGTCCCTTCACAAAGCAAACGAACAAAATCAGAATGCTAAAGGTCTGATCCCAAAACAGAGGTGTGCAGGCGGCAGGCAGGCAATGATTCTCTCTCATCATCGATCTCTCTCTCTCTCTCTCTCTCTCTCTCTCTCTCTCTCTCTCTCTCTCTCCCTCTCTCCCCCCTTCCTCTCTGAAATCAATAAAAATATATTTTTTAAAAAGTCACTCCAAAGTTTCAAATCTCAATAATTAGAAAATGGATTACATAATGAAAATCTTTAAATAGTACACTTGATAGTCACCAGCAGAAGCAATCTGCAGTCTGAAGGCTTTATGCCATAAAGAAATGGAAGAAAGACATTTATAAAGCCTCCTAAATGGCCCAGCACAAACAACCAAAGCTTATGGCAGATGTGGTTTCTGGATTGATGATACAAATGTACTCATTCATTCCACTTAAAAGAAACAGAAAAAAGTGTCTGTCATAAGATCAATAAGTCCAGAGTGAAAAACAGGTTTCCTCAAATTCAGGATGATAAAGAATTTTATAAAATAAAACCCAGAAGTTTTTCTCTATGGACTTCGAAACACTGAAAATAACATGAAATTTTTGAGTTGAAGAAAATGCAGGTAAAAGTCTTTAGAATAAAAAAATAGAGATTTTTCTAAATACATCACAAAACTGCAAACATGTACAAATTAACTCTATTTGACAACAATCCAACAGGATGAAATAAATGGAAAAAAAATAAAATAAATACCTACAACATGTGACAGTTAATAATTGATATTTCTTAATATAAAAAGAGCAAATGAAAAATCAAAATAACTACTTACAAGCTAAATGGGCTAGAGACATGAAAAAGCAATTCACAAAATAAATAAAAATGGCAAATAAACATATGAAATAGGTTGAATTTCAGAAAAATTAAAACAATGGACAATCTCATCTTTGTGAGCATGCCTATGCAAAGGAAGACAAAGTAATTCAGAAGGACAATTTGCAGTAAGTATAAAAATATAAAATACAAACATCTTTTGAGTCATTAATCTTACTTCCAGGAATTAACCCTAATAAAACAATTTTATGTAGCATATACAATTATATACTGCACTATTGCTTTTCTTTTCTTTTTTTTTAAAATATATTTTTATTGATTTTTTACACAGAGGAAGGGAGAGAGATAGAGAGCCAGAAACGTCAATGAGAGAGAAACATCGACCAGCTGCCTCTTGCACACCTCCTACTGGGATGTGCCCGCAGCCAAGGTACATGCCCTTGACCGGAATCGAACCTGGGACCTTTCAGTCTGCAGACTGACGCTCTACCACTGAGCCAAACCGGTTTCGGCTGCACTATTGCTTTTCACATAAGATAAAGAAAATAAATCAACGTGTACAACTGGAGAATTGGTGAAATAAATTAAGGAATTGGTGAAATAAATTAAGGAAACATACGACAAACATTTAGCTATAAAAAACGTCAACAGCAGGTCTGCATTTGTTGGTATTGAAAGCCATCCATGAGACTAATGTTTTTAAAATGAAGCAGTTTAGAGTATAGAATATATGGTGTGATCTTATTGATGTCAAATGGTTACATAGATTATTCATGGAAATATCTGAAAGGATGATCACCAAAATGTTAACAGTAAATTCTGGTGATTTTTAACATATATCAGAATAATTTTCTGAATTTAAAATATAATAATGTGTTTTTTAAAAAAATATATTTTTATTGATATCAGTGAAGAAGGGAGAGGGAGAGAGAGAAACATCAATGATGAGAGAGAATCATTGATTGACTGACTCCTACACACCTCTACTGGGGATCCAGCGCACAACCTGGGCATGTGCCCTTGACTGGAATCAAACCCAGGGCCCTTCAGTCCATAGGCTGATGCTCTATCCCTGAACCAAACCAGCTAGGGCATAAACGTGTCATTTTTATAAAAATAAGAGACTCAATTATGACAGCTCAATTCTTTTATTCCCAACAGGATAAATTTTATCTCTACTTTGGCTATCAAGGCCAGCTGGCCATTTAGTGTTTGCTTTGTTTTCTTGTTAACTTGATAAATGTAGTGTAACAAAGACTCTGTCTGGTCTTGGTCCTGGTTCCTGGCAGAAGCTTCAGAAACCCTTGGAATTTCCTGCGTGACAACGTCTTTGTTATTAGGTGACTTCTACTGGGCCCCAAGGTAGCTCCAGCGCTGGGACTTTCAGCCTTCGAACTGCCAGGAGTGGTAAACCGAGGGTTGAAAACGATGTGGCCCATGTTCCAATCAATGAGGCCCATGGAGGAAGCCTCAGTAAGAACTCTGGACACCAAAGATCAGTGGAGCTTGCTGGTTGGGAGAGTGGCTGCCCAGCACCACAGGGAGCGTTGTGTTCTCTCACACATGTGCATCCTTTCTTTTTAAGTGGTAATAGCGCCCTCCTGGCTCTGTAAGTCACTCTAGTGAATTATTTCACTTGGGGAATTGAGGACACCTCCCAACTTATATCCAATTGGTCAGAATTGTGTGTGGCCTGGAGGACACCCACCCCACCTCAGACACTTGGCTGGAGTCTGAAGTAGGGGTGGTCTGTGGAGGACTTTGCCCTCATCCTGTGAGGTCTGCACTAGCTCCAGGTATTTAGAGTCAGGATTGCATTGCAGCACACCCAATTGGTTCTGATATCAGACCAGCTGAGTTGATAAGACCAGTAACCATCCTAAGTAATGATATAATACTATTTTCTATAACTGATACTTTTGAGAGTAGAGGAGAAATGGGCAAAGCTTTGTTGATCAGGTTTTGTGATTTTTATACACAAACAATAAAATTCAGGAATTGTTTATCCTTCTTCAGTACCCAAATGCCTCCTTCTCTGTGCCATTCATGCAGCTCTCCATGCATTGCTCCCACACACCGTGCACCTAGTAAAGCACTTATTACTGATGCTGCATTGTCTATGCCTCTCTCATTGCTAAACTGTGAATTCCAAAGCAGGAACCCCATATCATATTCCACCTTTATATTCTCAGAGCCAACCACAGTGCGTGGTCTTGAGCATGGTTTTGAGGCCAGAAACCTCAGTATCTGTCTTCCTGTCGGCCTGGATGATGCCCAGTCTTGCTGGGCCAAGAGCACAGCAAATGTCCCTCACGTTTGGTAAATGAGTGACTGAGTCAACAAAACAGCTCTGAACACACACAAAATCACTTCCGTAAAAGAACGTGGTAGATCAGAGAAATAAGTAACCTCTGAAGGGAAACAGTAAATAAAAATAAGATTCCTTTAAACACAATAAGAAAAATAGTGTCAAGTATTCTTCTTCTCTTCTCTTAGATCTTTGTGGTCTTTTATTACGATAGAAAATTAGAAAATCAGTTTGAAGGACTAACTTTTCTCCCCAGTCAGAATGCTATTACACATAACCACTCACCTTTTAGTCTAGCATCGCCCCCGAAGGCACCGCAGCCCCAGTTCCCCGTGGCCACTGCAGAAAGGTTCTCTGAAGAAACTCCTGGACGGACAAATCCACAGTAAGCCTGCAGGATTAAACAAGTATCAAAGCACATGAGTGACTGGACACTAGCAGTCTTTCTCACTAGATGGACTGGAGCAGTCCATCTATTACCAAGCTTACGGTATTTCTATTTTTCCTTAGGGGCCAAAGTAAAGGGGAAAACAGAAAGTTGTGGGATTATAAAGAAACAGAGTAAGAAATGATTAATTCTAATACTTATTTGCTTTGATGCTGGACAAATCAAAGCTCTAAAGCCAGGGTGAGGAATGTCCAGCCTGCAGGCCTTACCGGGCTTGGGAAACCATTTGCTCGGCCCTCCAAGGCATGAGGGGTGAGTTAATTAAATGTTTGATCAAACAGAGCAGGCTAATTTTTAAGTTGATAATTTTGTACGGCCTGAGAATGCTGTTATAAATATCCAAATGGCCCTGGGCAGAAAAAAAGGTTCCCTACCCCTGCCTTAACCCAACATGGGCCTCAGTTTCTTTTTTCAATTCAAAGACATATAAATGAAAATATCAGAGACATTTCAAGAGCTGATAGCATCACAATGACAAACTATCAGGAACTAACTAAAGACAGGAAAGACACGTGAAACACTGCTTTATTTGAGGGCTTTTAATTACCATTTTTTCATTAAGGTAAAGAGCAATTACTGTTATGTTTCCTTAGCACACTCTCTGAATTATTGGAACTAGATTAATAATTGTGAATAGCTTTTTAATGTGCCTCCTGCCACTAAAATGCTTAACAATGGGAAAGCAACTGTAATATAAAAGGGATTTCTACACCTGGTTATAAAATATCCCTAAGCACCATTACAGCTCCTAGATTCTCTAGTTTTAGGCTATTTTAAATGAGAATATTTTAAAATGTATTTCTCAGTAACCTGAGAAAAGAACATCATATCCCAAGGATGTTGACTAAGAATTAATTACATGAACAGTTCATTTTGTATGAGAAGACTGCGTTTAAGGTCCCAGAGTTTCTGATGTCCACTTTTTGTTGTCAGCCTGCTTGGTCTCCCTGCTTCCCAAGGGTTCTTAGTTTTCTAAAACTATCAGAGGTTTAGTATAATAGCAAAGCAAATCTTCCTGGGTTTTCTCAAGTAAGAATCAAAGCAAAAATACAGCTTATGCATAGTCATAAATAAAATAAAAATGGCCTGTGACAGATGTTCCCAGAGAAAAACCAAGTATAAAGAAGATGCTCTATGAAATCCACACACAGATATATAGTAAATTGCTCTGTGAAGTCTCCACAAAGGTATAAAATGTTACCCACTGTCTGGATGGATGAACAAGGCAAATCCTTCCACCCTCCCAGGCTGTAAACCCTGACAGATACTAATTATAAGCTGCCACCACACCATTATTCAGTGATGTGGTACAGAGCTTACACCAGAACTCACAAATGACCTGTAAAATTAGATGCATGGAGCTTCTGAAAACCCCTTTCAGGTAAAACATATCAAAAAGCTCAATTTTTAAAACAGGCTCTTGAAAGATATACTCTCCTTTTCTTTCTGCCAGCAAAAAGGGAATAAGCTCTGTCAGAGTACAATAGATGTGAGTGTGGCTGCCTGTCAGGTTCCCCACCCGGCCTAGCTGAAGAGGGAAGCCTCTTAGCTTCCTTGTTCATGCCATTTCTGTTCTATATGTCAGAAGGCTTTAGTCTCTTCCTCACTGCTATCTCTACAAATCGGGGCTAACTTTTCTTTAAGGGAAAAAATACTTCCTGAAACAAAAGCACAACAGAGAATTTTAAATATTTAGATTAGAAGCAAAATCTAATATAAAGGATTAACCAATTTTTACAAAAAAAACCCCAACAACAAACCACAAAAAAACAAAAAAACCCTATCCTAAAAAATGGCCATAACTAAAATAAACTATATAACCGAAATTAACCTGCATTTAGTGTTTTATCTAATGAAACTTTAAACCGATAATCAGAAATTAAATGATATAAAACAATTACATGATAATTCTGTTATTCTGTTAGAGCCAGAAAGAGGAGAGAAGCAGCAAGCCCCTCAAAGTCCCTGAAGAGGGACAACCATGCTTCCCCTTCTCCAGCGAGGAGAGGCTCCCTCAAACGCTGGGAACCAGGCAGTGCCCAGGGCAGTGCCGCCATCAGGGGTCCTTTCCTCTCATAGGAGTAATTGAGTAATTGAGCTACTTCAATAAGATACAACCATCGGCAAGGATAGAGACTTAAAAGAACTGCCAAGTTCTTATTTCATGGAGAAAGGTACTAGGAGTTCTCAAGAGCTCCACACAGACTACAAATACTTTATTTTTCCCCACCCAGAGCCAGAGCCACTTGAGGAGATTAATCAGAACTGTAATAGAAATCCAGCTTAAATTTAATCACATCCTGATATGACTCTCACCAATGACAGAGCTACTTTTTTTTTTTTTTTTTTTTTTTTTTTAAACTAATAAACAACTTTAAACTGGGAAAAAGGGAAGCATTTCTATCGCAGGACAGTAAGTAGAAGACATCAATGAACACTTTAAGAAACAAGAGGCAGCAGGAAAATACTGGTATCTAGAATAAAAAACTAGAGCCCAGCCAGGAAGAGGTTAAGATAGAAATGTATAATAGGAAGGAAATAAAGAAAACTCAAGTGATTACTGGCCCACATGGCTCAGTGGTAGAGCTAGGAACCAGGAGGTCACAGTTTGATTCCTGGTCAGGGCACATGCTTGGTTTTGGGGCTCGATGCCTAGAGGGGGGGGGGGGGAGGCGTGCAGGAGGCAACCAATCAATGATTCTCTTCGTCACTGATGTTTCTCTCCCTTTCTCTCTGAAACCAATAAAAATATATTAGAAAAGAGGAAAAGAAAACTGATGTGAGAACCTACAGGGCCTGAAACGAGTCCAGGAAATAGAAGGTCCTCAGGAAGGTGTACCACAACCCACACACCAATGTGCAAAAGCCCACACACACTTTGGTAAAAACTCAGTCTACAACATTACTTTTAGCAGGCTCAAGTAGATATAATTAAACTATGTCTTTCACTGTACTATAAATATATTGTATTACTTGCTAAAGTAATAATTTAATTAGGAATAATTATTTAACTTAAAGTAATACAGTTGGTACTGATACTGATTTTCTGAGATTTTAAAATACTGTAATTTCTTAAAAACAAGTACAAAAAAAATTAAAAATTAAAGAAAAAACAAACAAACATAACGTAAAAAGTCCCTTAAAAATCATGGGAACATATATGTTAAGTTTGCACAGTGACAAACCATTACTAAATTTAGTGGGGTGATCACATTATAAGGTATAAAAATGTTGAATCACTATATTACACATCTGAAAATATTATAACTAATATAATACTGTACCAACTATACTTAAGGGAATCTTTTAGAATAGAATAAAATAATATTAATTAGGAGTCTTAAAACTATCCTTAGATTCAGTATCATCAGTTTTATAAACTCTCTTGCTACTTTATTAAACAGCAACTGTGTTTATTACTATAGTGTTATCAAAATGGTAGTTAAATCACAGTAAATCAATCCCACTGATTTTATGTCTATTAGACATATTATTACAGATTATTAGAAAGTATGAAAAATATAGGGCTAAAATAAATAGGTAAAATACAAAATTATAGGTACTTTTTGAAAAAAAAAATATATATATGAAGCTAAATATTCATGTAGAAAGACCTATACAAATGAAAACAATTATTTGGATGCCTTTTTATCTTTAAAATAATTGTAAGATTAATAAATTGATTTTGAAAAAAAAATAGATTTTGCTTTTTAAAAATGCAATATAAGCCCTTGCCAGTGTGCAGTGTTAGAGGGTCGGCCCAAGCATCAGAAGGGCCAGTGGTTCAATTCCCGGTAGAGGGCAGATGCCTGGGTTGCAAGTTCGATCCTTGGCTTGGTCAGGGTTCATATGGGAGGCAACCAATCAATGTACCACTCTCACATTTCTTTCTCTCTCTCTCCCTCTCTCTCCTTCCCTCCTTTTCACTCTCTCTTAAAAAAAAAAAAATCCTTGGGTGAGGATTAACAAAAAAAAAGCAATATAAAATGAAATAATTATGCAGACCATAGTTTTCTTTCTCATGTGTAAAACATAAGATTAGAGTAGGTATCTCTTTGATGATTCTGATTCTATGTATTGAGAAACTTAAGGGAAAACTCACTTGAATTAATATTCCTGAAACGTAGTGACACATTTCAAGAAAAGATTATAAATGATCAGACGGTGAACTTCCTCGACATATCAGCAGCAAGTATTGATTGGTTTGTTAATCAAGCTCTGGTTTAATAACAAGCCCCTTCTAAATTTGGTGATGAGTAATTAAAAAAAATCAATAAATGAATCAATTTTAAAAAGGTAAATGGTAGTGATTTCCTGCTGGGGTGGTCTCTTCACTTTGTTAAATTTCTGACCCGAAGCGTCCACAAAATACATTCATTACTTAATCTTACCTGAATGAATCTAACTATGGCTAAATGCAGCTTTTCACAGATGATTTCTCTCTTCCCTTGCTGAGCTATTTGCCATTTTTGCAAGCTGGAGTCATAAATTTGCCAAATCACAAAAATAACTCTCTAAAATGTCACCCAGCTGATCTCTCAGGGGATTAAACACTGCTTCACAGTATCCTATCTAATAAAGAGGGAATATGCTAAATGACCCTCACACTGTCACGAAGATGGCAGCCCCCACAGCCAATAAGGAGGGGATATGCTAATTGACTGCCCTGCCCTCAAAGATGGTAGTGCCCAGTTCCCTCAGCCCTGCCAGGGCGGCAGGCACGTGGCAAGGCCATGCCCCTTCCTCCCCCCCAGACGGGCCTGGCCATTCTGTGCGCCTGCCTCCAGAGTCCCCCAGTCCTCTCAGCTCCTCAGCCACCCAGTGCTGGCCCAAGGCACAGGCAAGCCTTGGATGGCGGCTGCCCAGCCATGCAGGACCACTCAAGGCTCAGGTAACCAGGGCCGGCCGAGGTTTGCACTACTAGCAGTGGCAGCAGCAGGGGTGTGATGGGGCATCACCTTCCTCTGATCACCGGGTCGCCTCCTGAGGGTCCCAGACTGTAAGAGGGGGCAGGCTGGGTGGAGGGACCCCCTCCCTCCAGTGCATGAATTTTCATGCACCGGGCCTCTGGTCAGTTAGTTAAAGGAGACTGACTTTTCCTTTTAAAAACCAACTCTACTTACAGGTCACAAGTCGTCCAATAACACAATTGGAGCCTAGATGAAGCAGAATGTTTCCAGAGGTGATAAAGCACTTTGTGAGATTGCCCTTTAAATTATTAACTGGTGAGCAATGCCACAAAGTAGCAGATAGGCCTCTAAAGTTCAAAGATCCACACTGAATTCTGATGGTGAAAACTGGTCCTATGTTGCTTCATTTATTGTTAAAAATATATTTTATTGATTTTGTACAGAGAGGAAGGGAGAGAGCCAGAGAGCCAGAAACATCGATGAGAGAGTCATCGATCAGCTGCCTCTTGCACACCCCCTACTGGGGATATGCCGCAACCAAGGTACATGCCCTTGACCGGAATCGAACCCAGGACTCTTCAGTCCCCAAGCCGACGCTCTATCCATTGAGCCAAACCGGTCTCGGTTGTTGCTTCATTTAGGAAAATAGTTTTTCTATTCATTCCTACTTTCTCTCTGGCATGGGAAAAAAAAAAAGTAGAATTATGCAAGTCATCTCTCAGTGATTTAATATAGACTTCTGCTTTAAAGCCAAGTTGAAAAAACATTTAATACCCTCTCCAAGTTGTGCTGTCAGTTTCTGGAAAACTTCCTGTTGTATCTACTAAAATGTATAATTAACTCTTTTAATAGCTAAGTGTACCTAATAAGTTCTGAAATACTTTAATTTAGGAAGGCCAAAGTTATTTGGATTAGTTTCCTAATTAAGTTATTAGTAACATTTAACAAAACCACTTACTGCTTTCTTATTTATCAATGAAAGTATTAGAAAACTGATTCTTTGCTAAAAGGGCAAATGTTTATGAACATAGTAGCAAATAAAAGCCATACATTTATTAAATGATCCCCACGTGCCAGGCCCTAAGTGCTTCCCTCCCTCAATGACAGCCATGTGGTGAGGGGCTCCTTTACGCCTGTCATATTCCCTGTTTCATGAGAACTTAACAAAATGAAATTGTCAGGGGAAGCAAGGAGGAACCCTCAAATTTTCTTTAAAAAGTATATCAAACAGAAAGGGATACTGAGAAAAGCCTTCACTGGAAACTTGCTTACAGTATAGGATTATGACTAAAAAAAGAAGAGGTAAGCCAGGTGTACATGCTTGTAGATCATGTCTTAACAAATGCAGGAAATATTCTTTAAAAAAACATACTTATTGATTTCAGAGAGGAAGGGAGAGGGAGAGATAGAAACACCAATAATGAAAGAGAATCATTGATCAGCTGTCTCCTGCATACCCCCTACTGGGGATTGAGCCCACAATTCAAGCAGGTGCCCTTGACTGGAATCGAACCGAGGACCCTTTAGTCTGCAGTAGATCCACAGCCAAATTGGCTCTGGCAGGAAATATTCTTAATGATTTAAGACTGAAACAGGCTGGGACCAGTTTGGCTCCATGGATAGAGCGTCGGCTTGGGGACTGAAAGGTCCCGGGTTCGAGTCCGGTCAAGGGCATGTACCTTGGTTGCGGGCACATCCCCAGTAGGGGGTGTGCAAGAGGCAGCTGATCGATGACTCTCTCTCATCGATGTTTCTAACTCTCTATCTCTCTCCCTTCCTCTCTGTACAAAATCAATAAAATAAAAAAATAAAAATAAAAAAGACTGAAACAGGTAAAAAGTCTGGAAAGACAGATTTAGTTATAGTAATCTTATTTGTGAGGAGTTAAATTTTAAAAAAGTAATTAAGGTAAATTTTTATTTTATCAGTTGCGCTAATCACATTTCAAATGCTCAATAGTCACAGTTCCATCCTCACAGTATGTTGTATTGGACTTTAGGCCTTAGATTCTTTGGCTGAGTGCTAATCAGTTCATGATTAGTGACTAAATTATCTCGAGGCCATGCTGAAACCGGTTTGGCTCAGTGGATGGAGCATCGGCCTGTGGACTGAAAGGTCCCAGGTCGAATTCTGGTCAAGGGCATGTACATTGGTTGCGGGCACAGCCCCAGTGGGGGGGTGTGCAGGAGGCAGCTGATCAATGTTTCTCTCTCTCTCTCTCCCTTCCTCTCTGTAAAAAAAAATTAAATAAATAAAATATATTAGAAAATAAAAAAATAAAAAGGTAAACAAACAATACCTATTATATAAATTCAACTTTGGGAAACAGTGCATTTAATCTTCATACTTTTTATGAGATGCCTTTGAGAATGTTAAACATTAAAAAACCTAATAAATTATATATAAGAAAACATGTGCAACAATAAGTTAGATTCTCAAGTAGATTAAGATATAAGATAATAAATGTAATAATTACATTTACAATAGCTACTAAGTTGTTATTTACTTTACTAATAATCTGAAAGGCAAGGTGGTTCAGCTGGGATAAGACTCCATAAGGAGGGACCGTTCCTGTGGGGAGAGCCCAGGAAGATGTGAAGATGACACGGAATGCCAGCTATGCCAATACAAAGGTATCCAGCCCCCGCACACACCGGCCTGCTCTCATCATCAGAGGCGGTGCAGGGAATGGCACATCTGTAACCTGCAGAACCACAAAGCTCGTGATCTTCATAAACAGTCTCATACCAAATCCTGCTCGTAGGAGCTAAACCATGGTTTTCAGAATTGGGTCAGTGTTCTTAGCTGTGAGAGTAGGTTGAGGAACTAAAGAAAAAGCCGTGTTTTGGTAAGACCCTAAATCTAGAGAACAGTATCAGCAACCCTGTAGGATAGTGTATTTATTATGGTCAACAGTGGTGAAAATGTAACTAACAAGAGGAATGGCTCACTTTTATATTTCTGTAATACAATTAAAAAGAAAATGATGATAGTAGACAGCACTAAGTGCCATAGAAAAGCATAGATTCCACAATAAATGTGTCTAATTGCCAAATCAGTAAATAATTCTCAGGAATCTTACCCATAATAGAACACTTTTAACTGGACTTTTATGGTTTACCTGTTTTAATTCTGAAAGTATATCTTGTGGAGAAAAACGTCACTGAGTAAGTCTAAAAACATTTTAAGGGTTCATTCTTGTCTCTATAGGTTTGCACTAACGCTCCAAAGCAGCTCACAGTACTTGGTGAGATAAACGCCTGTGTGGGGCTTCATGCCAAGCACCAGCCTCTCTGGCTTCAGTAATCAAACAATTATGAAATGGAAAGTCCATCTTGTACAAGCTGACAGCCATTAAATCAGGAGAGCTATGGGCAGACATACTGACACTGCAAGAATTTCCAGAAAGCATTAATAAAATGACAGTAAGTAGATGGCAGCTGCCAGATGAACTAAGAAATAAGGTTGCTGGCCTTGTTAAGCTCACGTCTGATTTTCTCAGGCACAAACTGGTCGAGGTGGCGTCTGAAGTGGAGGGCATCGATGGCGACAATCTCAGTGCTGCGCCGCTGCCAGTCGTCCCTGGGCAGGACAGGGGGGAGAGGTGAGGGGTGGAAAGGCACTCACAAATAAACCCTCCCAGGTTTCTGAGGTACTGCAGGGTTAAAATACAAAAAACAACCCAAGCCATAGAGCTCAGAAAAACAGGGAGGCAGAAAACACTATTTTATTTTAAATTCCATGGTACATACTGTGGACTGTCAGGCATTATACAGCAAATGAAAAATTATGGAGACAAAAATATGACATATTGTAACTGGGTACATCATTTACAGTGGGTCTCAGAGGTTAAAGGATTTTGGGGGGGAAAAAACCAAAAACCTTAAGTCTTTGTTTTCCTCTAATATAATATTAAAGACATGACATTTGTATTTTGACAAGAATTCATTCCTCCTCTGTTTGAAAGATCTACTCTAGGTCACTGGGTATGTAACATCACCATACATCATCCAAGAAATAATCCCAAGAAGTCAAGTGTTACAAAATGTGTACACATTCTACCTATTGTGCTCATTTGCTGACTGTGGAAATATTTTTAAAAAGACAAAGACAGCAAAGCAGACAATAACACAAAGCAGTCAAAATAACATGTTGCCTGTGGAAATATGAAGGAAGGGGTGAGATGATTTTGAAAACATAAAATTCCAAATATTTCATCTCATAAATTTGCACATATTGATATGCCAAGCAACTTTCCACTCTGAAGAACAGCAATGAAAACCTTCATGTTAGTCTGTAAATAATTATCATAAGTTAAGTATCCACATAGATAACTACTGTAACCACATGGTTTAATCAAAACAAAGGAGAGGCCAGGGCTGGCCTGAGATGACAAAACTAAGTCTTCACTCTGCAGGGGCCATGCTGCAGGGATGATGCTGGTGATTCTGCCACACAGTGTTTTGTTGTTTTTTTTTTCTTAATTCTTTCTCCTTTTTCACCCACAAAAATCTTCTGACAGCTGTCAGTTTGTTCTCTATGTTTCTATTTTGTTTGTCAGTTTATTTTGTTGATTAGATTCCACGTGAGTGAGATACTTGTCTTTCTCTGACTGGCTTATTTCACTTAGCATAATACTCTTCAGGTCCAACTATGCTCTCACAAAGGGTAAGCTTTCTTTTTTAAGGCCTAGTAGTATTCTATTGTATAAATGTACCACAGCTTTTTTATCGACTCATCTACTGACACTTGCACTGCTTCCATATCTTGGTACTGTGATGCTGCAACAAACGCAGGGTTGCATATATTATTTTGAATGAGTGATGCAGGTTTCTTAGATTATATTCCAGAAGTGGAATCTCTGGGTCAAAAGGCAGTTCCATTTTTAATTTTTTGAGGAAACTCCATACTACTTTCCACACTGGCTGCTCCAATTTGCATTCCCACCAATCCCTTTTCTCCACATCCTTGCCAGCACTTGGTTGTTGATATACTGATGACAGCCATTCTGACAGCTGAGAGGTGATATATCTCATTGTGGTTTTAATTTGTATTACTTTGTTTAGTGGTTCTGAGCATCTTTTCATATGTCTGTTGGCCATCTGTGTGTCTTCTTTGGAGAAATGTCTATTCAGATCATTCACTCATTTTTTAATTGGGTTGTCTGGTGTTTGGTTGTATGAATTCTTTATAAATTTTGGATATTAACTCTTTATCAGATGTATCATTAGGGAATATGCTCTCCCATTCAGTGGGTTGTCATTTCATTTTGATGGTTTCCTTTGCTGTGCAAAACTTTTTAGCTTGATGCAGTCTCATTTATTTTTTCATTTGTTTCCCTTGCCCAAGGAGATATATTAGAAAAAATATTGCTATAAGAAATGTCTAATATTTTACTTTCTATGTTTTCTTTTAGGAGTTTTATGATTTTCAGTCTAATATTTAAGTCTTTAATCCATTTTAGTTTATTCTCATGTATGATGTAAAAAGGTATTCTAGGTTCATTTTTTAACATGTATCTGTACAATTTCCCCAACACCATTTGTTGAATAGATTATCTTAATCTGAATGTATGCTTTTGCCTCCTGTGTCATAATTGTCCCTGGTGGGCTTATTTTTGGCCTCTCTATTCTGTTCCATTGACCTACATCCCTGTTTTTATGCCATTAACCTGAAATGTCCAATTTTGTTCTTGTCACAAGGTTGCTGTGGCTATTCCGGATCTTGTATGCTACCATATACATTTCTGGAATATTTGTTCTAGTTCTGTGAAATACGCTATTGGTATCTTCATAGAAATCTCTGGATTGCTTTTGGTAGTACAGGCATTTTAATGATATTAATTCTTCCTATCCAAATGAACATGGTATATACTTCCACTTATATGTATCTTCATCAATATCTTTCATCAGTGTCTTATAATTTTCCAAGTACAGGTCTTTCACAGCATTAGTTAAACTTATTACTATGTTTTTTTTTTTTACTTTTCTTGATGCAACTGGGACGGTTTTCTTAGTTTCCAATTGTGATAATTCATTATGGGTGTATAAAAATGCAATTGATTTCTGGATATTTATTTTGTATCCTGATACTTTACTGAATTCATTTATCAGTTCTAGTAGTTTTTTGTGTGGAATCTTCAGGGTTCTCTATATATAGTATTATGTCATCTGTAAATAATGGCAATTTTACTTTTTCCTTTCCAGTTTGAATGCCTTTTATTTCTTCTTCTTGTTTGACTGCTGCGGCTAGGACTTCCATATTATCTTATATACAAAAAAGGATAATATGCAAATTAACCCTAACAGCAGAATGACCAGACATACGCTGGACCAGTCACTATGAAGTGCACTGACCACCTCTTAGTCCCTTCCCCTGGTGTCAGGAACTTATCACCTGATGATGAATGGGGAACAGGGGTTTGGTGGCAGTGCGGGGAGGGGCCGGCTGCAGGCAGCTAGGTATGATGACCCAGATAACAGGCCAGGCCTGGGGACCATACCCGTGCATTCATTTTATGCGCCGGGCCTCTAATGTTGAATAAAAGTGGTAAAAGCAGACATTCTTTGTCATGTTCATAGTCCTAAGGGAAATATTTGTAGTTTTACCCACTGAGTATAATGTTGGCTATGTGTTTGTCATATATGGCCTTTATTATGTTCCCTCTATTCTGCCTTTGCTGAGAGTTTTTAACATAAATTGGTGCCAGATTTTATCAAATGCTTTTTCTGTATTTATTGGTATGATTATGTGGTTTTTATCCATTTTATGTATATAGTGTATCACATTTATTGATCTGTGACTATTGTATAACCTTGATCCCTGAAATAAATCCCACTTGATCATGCTGTATGATCTTTTTAATGTATTGCTGGATACGGTTTGCTAGTATTTTGTTAAAGACTTTACCAACTATGTTCACTAGAAATATTGGCCTATTTTCTTCTTTCTTTGTGGTGTCTTTATCTGGTTTTGGAATTAGGATAATGCTGGCAATGTCAAATGAGCTTAGGAGTCTTCCCTCATCTTGAATTTTTTAGAATAGTTTGAGGCTAGGTTTTAATTCTTCTTTGAATGTGTGGTAAAATTCACCTGTGAAGCCATCTGGTCCAGTACTTCTGCTTGTTGGGTGTTTTTTGTTTGTTTTGTTTTAAATTTTATTACTGTTTTAATTTCACTAGTTATAATCTGTCTATGTTCAGACCCTCTGATTCAGTTTTGGAAGATTGTATGTTTCTAGAAATTTATTCATTTTGACCAGATTGTTCAATTTGTTAGCATATGGTTGTTTATAATATTTTCTTATAATTCTTCCTATTTCTTTGGTGTCAGTTGTTTCTTCTTCTATTTCATTTCTGATTTCACTTATTTTGATCCTCTCTTTTTTTCTTGGTAAGGTTAAAGGTTTGTCAATCTTGTTTATCTTTTCAAAAAACCAGGTGTTGGTTTCATTCACTTTTGAATTTCATTTCAAACTCTTTTATTTCTGCTCTGATCTTCATTATTTCCTTTCTTCTATTCACTTTGGGATTTGTTTGCTGCTCTTTTTCTAGTTCTTCTACAAGTAAAGTTAGAATGTTTAGTGATTTTTCTTATTTCTTGAGGTAGATCTGTAGTGCTATGAATTTCCTTCTTAGGACTGCTTTTACTGTGTCCCACAGATTTTAGGTTGTTGTATTGTCATTTTTATTTGTTTCAAGGTCTCTTTTTGACTTATTCCTTGATCTCACTGTTAACCCATTCATTGTTTGGTAACACGCTTGCTAGATTCAATATCTTTGTGTGTTTTTCAGTTTTTATTTCTTTTGATTTATTTCTAGTTTCAAAACCATTCTGGTCAAAGAAGATACTTGATATGATTTTAATTTTCTAAATGTACTGAGACTTATTTTGTGTCCTAACATGTGGTCTATCCTAGAAATGTCCATATGCACTCAAAAAGAATGTATATTCTGCAGCTTTGGAATGAAATGCTCTGAAGTTATTAATTAAGTCCTTATAATCCAGTGTATCATTTAAGGCTACCATTTCTTTGTTGATTTTCTGTTGGGAAGATTTATCTATCGATGTCAATGGGGTGTTAAAATCCCTTACTATGACTGTATTATAGCTAATCTCTTCCATGATGTATGTCCATCTAGTTTGCTTTACAGGTTTAGGTGCTTCTATGTTGGGTGCATAAATATTTACAAGGGTTATATTCTCTTGTTGGATTGCTCCCTTTATCGTTATGTAGTGTCCTTCTTTGTCTCTTATATACTTTGCTTTAAAGTTTATTTTGTCAGATATAAGTATTGCTACCCCTGTTTTTCTTTACTTTCCATTTGCATGAAATATCTTCTTCCATCCCTTTACTTATAGTCTGTGTGTATCTTTTGTTCTGAGGTGGGTCTCTTGTATACAGCATATATATGGTTCTTGTTTTCTTATCCATTCAGCTACCCTTCTGATTGGAGCATTTAAGCACACACTGGCTCTTCTTCATTAGCAAACGCGTGTGTACACAAACACACACACACACACACGCACGTATCCAAGTTCCAGTGCATAAAAATTCGCCTCTGCTAAACCAACTTACTGGGGAAGTAAGATCATGTGAAAATATATTTCAATAAAACATAGAAGACAGCAGCAGCAAAGTTCACTGTAATTTCTTCTGTCAATTGTTTGTAGCAGTAGGAAAATTGTCTGAACAGATTCCTTCACCTACCTAGCCTCCAGAAAAGTTAAGGATAATACTTATGCTGTTTAAGGGTTTTAAGCTATAACTATAACCAATTCTAAGTAAGTCTGGCCTTGGAAGTTAACCTCCACTGACTGCTTACAATTGGCAGCTAAGATGCAAAACTGTAAAGAGCTCTGCCCTTCCTGTCCTTGATTTAGACTTTGGCTTTCATTTCTTTTTGATATATGGTAATTATGTTTTAACTACTAATCAAGGTGTAATACTGAATTTTAGAAGAAAGTTACATTTCTGGAATAAGAATAGATGGCAGACAAAATATACGAGGCCACATTCTTTAGCTTCTGGCCATGCGATAATCAAGTCAGAAATGAACTCACCTTTCATTCCCATCTTCATGGCTCCGGGCCCAGCGGTAAGTTTCAGCATAGCCTGTGTATTCACTGTACTGTTCAGTACCTGAAAAAAAGAAGCTTCCAATACTATTTTTCAGAAATATTTCTAAAAGCCAACAATAAAAAAAAAAAAAAAATCACTGGCTTAACGATTTATTATTTTCGATGAAGAAATAATAGGATGCCTCAAAAAGTCACTACAATGCTTATCATACAGTGACTAAATGTCTCAACCAACACAGTAAACAAAATTTATTTCCTTCTTTTTAAGAGAAGTGCATAAAGACTGTGTTTTTTTACAAGTCCACTGTTTTGAATGTCAGCAATCTGAGATATCTGCTTCATATTGTTGAGAAAAGAAATTTTACATAAAGACATTCCCTAAAACAAATTAAAATTAAATCTAAGCCCTAGTTGGTTTTGCTCAGTGGGTAGAGCATTGGCCTGCAGACTGAAGGGTCCTGGGTTCAATTTCTAGTCTGGGAACATGCCCAGTTATGGGCTAGATCTCCAGTAGGGGGCGTGCAGGAGGCAGCCGAGCAATGATTCTCATCATTGATGTTTCTATTTCTTCCTCTCCCTTCCTATCTGAAATCATTAAAAATATATTGAAAAAATTAAATCTAGAATTTGCCTATCAATAGGCAAGGTACTTCAAGAAAGCCTTGTATCTAATAAAATTAGGATATTATGGCATGAGAAGAAAGGGAAGAGAAAAAGTATAATTAATATTAATCTGCTGAGGACACGCATCAAACTTGCCACATAACATAGATTTCTAATTCATTATACCTGAATATATCAGGAGAAATGGTGTCAAATTGTTCCACTATTTAACTAAATAAAATTATTCCAATTATAATGTTCAACTGAACAATCACTTGACTTTGCAAAAATTAAAAAACAAACAAAAACCCAACAATAGTAAAAATGAAAAGCTAAAACCCTGGCCAGAGAATGCTTTGGAATATAAAAAAAGAAAGATGAAGGAGAAACAATTTCTGATCTTCAAAAGTCACCATTAAAATAATGAAAAGACAACCACCTGTACCTAATAAGGGATATGTATATACCAGTGTGTATATATGTATATAGATAGCATCTTTAAAACTTAACAATAGCCGAAACCGGACTGGCTCAGTGGATAGAGCGTCGGCCTGCGGACTGAAGGGTCCCAGGTTTGATTCCGATCAAGGGCACATACCTTAGTTGCGGGCACATCCCCAGTAGGGGGTGTGCAAGAGGCAACTGATTGATGATTCTCATCGATGTTTCTAACTCTCTATCCCTCTCTCCTCCTCTCTGTAAAAAATCAATAAAATATATATTTAAAAAAATAATAATAAAAATAAAACTCAACAATAAAAAAATCTCAATTAAAACATGAACAAAAGATTATTTCATGTGTATAGCTGTATATACCTAACTTTACACTTTAAATTATATAGCTCAGTGTATGTCAATTTTACCTCAATAAAGCAGTTTAAAAATGTAATCTAACTCCCTCACTAGACTATTAGCTTCTAGGGTAAGGATTATAAATTATTAACATTTGTGTCTACATTAATATCTAGTAACACAAGAATATAGAAGCAGATGATTTAAGTACTTGCCATAGAAACGTGATAATTAGTGAGGAAAACAGGAAAAAACTGTATTAACTGAGGTTAAAATAATGAATCCAGAAATATTTAATTCCCATTTACACAGAGAATGTGGCAGGCTAAAGGGAGCACCACGCTGAGAGGAGGAGATCTGAGGAACCCACAGTGAATGCTCACATGACAAATCTCATCAAACTTCATTTGTCATCTAAAACTCAGACTTGTCAGTAATTCTTGTTACCTAATAGATCTGCTTGGAAAACCAAATGCGTTTAAAATCCTTCAAAACCATAAAGGAGTTAGTACTGGTGTCTAGAATTAACTTTGTAAGAGGGTAGAGAAATCAAAGATACATGATTCCAGGGATGTGGGGTTTGAAAGCAACCTGGTCCACTGGCAGGGAATAAAGAGGGCACAACACTTGTGTTCTTGTCTATTTTCTGCCCTGCAACGGCCGGGCCTTATTTTCCAAACAACTAAGTCTACTCTGATCTCTTAACTGTGAAAACAAATAACTGTTCTGTCTTTTGAAAAGTGGTTGAAAATTTCATATCAATTATATTTCTATTTCAAGTTAGATCGGTCTCAGTCTTATTTCCTAAGACAGACAAGGATAGATTCATTTCCTTCAGTAACGGGAAGTTTAAAAATCACATGTAGATGCTTCTACTCTAAACAAATTATGTATTTTCTAAATAGACTCTTTCAAAATTATGTAAACTGTTCTAAAAAATGAATACCTATAACTTGTTTTAGAATCAAATTTATTGATAAACTATGATGAAAATACTAACGTAAGCAGTGATAACAGCAAACAGGAGTCAGAGACTAAATGAACTTTATGGCAAACTCTCTCTACCCCCATTTAGGGAAATAGCTAGAAGGAACCCACTAAAATCTTTTCAAGAGTTCATGACAGCTTTATTAGTTTTCGGATTTAGCAGTAAGAAACATTCTTTTTTTCTTTTCTTTTAAAATATATATTTTATTGATTTTTCACAGAGAGGAAGAGAGAGGGATAAGAGTCAGAAACATTGATGAGAGAGAATCATCAATCAGTTGCCTCTTGCACACCCCCTACTGGGGATGTGCCCGCAACCATGGTACATGCCCTTGACCGGAATCAAACCCGGGACCCTTCAGTCTGCAGGCCGACGCTCTATCCACTGAGCCAAACCGGTTTAGGCAGTAAGAAACATTCTTATTTTCTCTTACTAGTAATGAAAGTTTGTGATGAACATAGAAAAAAATATCTGGAGATTAAAAATATTCCACTTAACAATGGGTGTGCCCTTAGAAAGAAAGCTTATATGAAAGCCACTGACTCTGCTTTTATTATATCATTCATATAGAGATAGTTATGTGGCAGATAAAACAATCTTGCCTTACATTACCATGATTAACAAGAATTAATAAAAGCAAAACTCCTAATGAATTTGGATCTTTCCCAATGAACGGATATCACTGAGTTAGCAATGAACTGTTTTTGTAGTGATGGGCACCGCTAGTGCTGTTATTAAAAGAACTGGTACTAAAAGCAATGGTTTCCACTTTTGTTCTGCCAGTTCTGCTGACCCTCATAAAAGATATAAGGATCTGTGATATCTGGAACAATTTGATTCATTCGAGTGCAGGTTTTACGTTAAGTGTACTATCCTTCTGCTCAGTAAGTCTCACAGCTAGGCATCTTTCTATGCTCACCACACAGAAACAAAACAATCTCCTAGGACTCTTTAGTACTGATGTTACTAGCTGCTGGTTGTAGAGGAACACGAGAGAGGGGAAAAGGAAAAAAGAAAGATTGGAGTTTTAATTCTTTCCCTCTGTCTATACTTACTGAAAGGTTGTAACTCATGGCTGCCCTCTGGATCATAGAAAATAGAGGAATAACACTGTCTGGATAAAAGGATTTGGCTGTTTGCATGACCTGTTTCATATTCATTAAAAGTCTGATACCAACCAGATGCCCCACAATGATGATAAATTTAATTTATTTCCAATTTCTCAAACTCTTCTACAGATTCAGGCAGCACAGTCACAGCCATTAGCCAGTCACAGGCACTGAGCCTGGATGAATCATTGAAGGAATGGAATTGATCCGGCAGATAGATTGCAGTGCCCGGTTAAGAGTCTCCTAAGAAGGGAGATGGCAGAAATCCAACATCAAATAGATGATGAAATGGCCATTTCCATTAAGGGAACATCACATCACAGATATTAATTAGGAGGCTCTATAATAGAGTTAAAAGGATGGGGGGGAGGGGGAAATGCTGAGTTAAAAGTCACCCCGGATGTCCTTAGCCTGAAGCAATTATAGAAGGTGAGTCATGGGTATGCAATTTTCCATCTATTTTACAATGCCTGTGGATAAGTTAGAGACCAGACATAGTTTCAGAGTGATGGAGTTTTTCAGATTGGAAACAAACTATCTTTTTTTTTTTTTTTTTTTTTTTTTTTTTTTTTTTAATGATTTGAAAGAGAGAGTGGAAAGGAGAGGGAGAGGGAGAGAGTAAAAGAGAGAGAGAAAGAGAGAAATCTTGATGTGAGAGAGAAACATCCACCAGTTACCTGCTGTCCGTGCCCATATATGCCCATGGCATGGAACCCACAACCAGGGTATGTGCCCTGACCAGGAATTGAACCCATCACCTTCTGTGTAGGGGATGATGCTCTAACCAATAGAGACACACCAGCCAGGGGTGGGGCACAAACTATCTTTTTTTTTTTTTTTTAATATATTTTTATTGATTTTTTACAGAGAGGAAGAGAGAAGGATAGAGAGTTAGAAACACTGATGACAGAGAATCATCGATCAGCTGCCTCTTACACAACCCCTACTGGGGATGTGCCCACAACCAAGGTACATGCCCTTGACGGGAATCGAACCTGGATTCGATTTCAGTCCGCAGGCCGACACTCTATCCACTGAGCCAAATCAATTTTGGCAGGGACAAACTATCTTTAAAAAAAGAAAGAAATATTATACTGTTTTCCTTACACACAAAAATTACAGCAACATTAATATAGATTGCAAGAGACTTACTTCTTTCCTAGTGTAAGAGAAATGAAGGAAATAAAACAAATTAGCTTTGAGCTTTAATGCCCAGCATACTACCAACTTTTTTTAATTTAAAATACATACAGCTAATCTTTGAACAACGTGGGGATTAGGGATACCAACTCTCCTACGTGGTTGTAATTCTTGACTTCATAAAAACTTAATTACTAATAGCCTGTTGACTGGAAGCCTTGTAGATAACATAAAAAGTTGGTTAACATATATTTTGTATATTATATGTATTATATACTGTATTCTTACAATAATGTAAGATAGAGAAAAAAATGTTGCTAAGAAAATACGTAAGAAAGAGAAAATACATTTACAGGACTGTACTATATTTATAGTCTGTTTACAAAATGAATCATCTGTCAGTACCTACATTGTATTGTCTCGTATAATACAAGGCACTGTAGATATTAATGTATTACTAACACTAGGCATTAAAAATAAAAAGATGGAGACATATAATACTTTCAACAATAAAGAATTATTAAAAAAGAAAAGATAACATGAAAAGATTCGTGCATTAATAACAAAGAAGCAGCAAATACGATTGCTTTATGGTAGCCTTGTGCAACTGATACAATTGCTTCACAATAGTAAGATCTCCATAAAATTTTGATACATTTATGTTTTAAAATTCATGCAGTTGAAACCTGTATTTTTCAAGGATCAACTATAGATAATCTAAAATACTGATGAAATATTATTTTCCAAGTTTCAGTTCAAATCTAGCTTATCGCTTAAATGTCTCTTAAAGTATTAATTAATAATCTAAATGCTGGAGACGATCACATTCTAAATGATTCTGACTATCTCTTCAGAGCTCTCTAAAACAGTGAAAGACCAATACTCAGAGTATTTATTAGCCCAGCAATGGATTTATGATAGCTTAAATTTTTGTTCTATTATTCCTGTACTCTCTTCTCTCCTCATACCTTTCAACTACATTTTTTGTATCTACATGTGTAATAAACAGTGTATAAATATAGCTAAATCAATGAGACAACACAGAATAAAAGTGTTTTATATTTTTCATTTCATTACAATGGATCACAACTTGCACAAACTCAGACAATTAATAGTTGTTGTTTTTTGCTTACCACATCAAAACAGCAGACTCACAATTTCTACATAATAAAAGCCTAATATGCAAATTGACCGACCAGCAGAACGAGTGGGTACTATGATGTGCACTGACCACTAGGGGGCAGATGCTCAACGCAGGAGCTTTCACCAGCCTGCAGGCCTCAGGTCAACCAATGCGGGTGCCAGCAGGGGACCCCTCATTATCCTATTGGTTGCTCCAGAGATCAGCCCTGATCGCTGGCCAGGCCTATTGAATTTCATGTACTGGGCCTCTAGTGATATTATTTAAAAATAGCATAGGAATTCTAAATGATGTGGGATAACTTGTTGAAAACCTTTTTACAAACAAGTACTTGTGAAAGATAACATATCAGCAAAAATGATGGTGTAAAACTTCTGAAAATCTCACCTCTGTAATTTTTACACTGGTAAAAATTGCGAGGATCTACAATTTCTAAACTGTGGGAGTTAATCAAAGGCTAAAAGTAATCCAAATAATGTTTATTAAAAGAAAATTGGCTAAATCTTAGTAAAAAAGAATGGGTTTTGTAGTGTTTTTTAACTTGCCCTCCCACTCTCCGAAGCTCTGTAGTAGACTTAAAAGCCAACAGCCTGTAATCACAGTGAAAACCAGCAGCCTGGAAGCCATGAGAGGTGGCAGAAGAGGGCTGATGCTCCTTCAAAGCCCCATTCTCAGAGAATTATCATATAACCTGTCTGGTGGTTCCCTGGAAGATCTCACTTACAAGACTATCTTTATTTGATCTGAATTGGAGTTTGCCCGGTAGAAAAAGCCTAATAAAGACAGTCTTCGGGTTGCGTCGTCGGATTTGACATAAGTCGTTTCATGGTTATGTCACCATCTCCCATTTATTTACATTAAAAAAAAAAAAGTTCTGTCATTTCGACGTATGGTATTTTCTGGCGTATAAGACGACCCCCTAATTTTACAGTTAAAACATAGGTTTAGGCCTATATTCGCTGTATAAGACTATCCCCCACTTCCGAGTTCTTTTTTTAATAGACCACCTCTCTGACTCTGGCCAATCTGAGCAGGCTTTTTACTAGAACACAGTGTAGCTTCGGGTACAGAACATGTATAATTTGCATGCATAAAAAGCCCGCTTAGATTGGCTGAGTTAGAGAGGCGGTCTATTAAAAAAAGAACTGGTGTTGCCTCGGAAGTGGGGGGTAGTCTTATACAGCAAATATAGGCCTAAACCTATGTTTTAACTGTAAAATTAGGGGGTTGTCTTACACGCCGGAAAATACGGGTATGTACATACGTGCTTTATGTTTTATTATTTATTTACCATAAGTAAAGGTCAGGAATTACCTTTCCTTTATTTATTTATTTATTTATTTATTTATTTATTTATTTATTTATTTATTTTTTTACTGTTTCACTACATTACTGCTTTTTATATTACTCCATGTGAGTGACATAGGTGCTTGTGTAGGTGGGTTCTGACTTACATTGCACCGGATCTCCTATGTAACCCAAGGACCTACTAAATCTAGGGATATTTGTTGAAAACAATTATAAGCAATTGTTCAACACTGTGGTTATCCCTGAGGCAGTAAATAATAGTTGGGGCAAACAATAAGCTAACTAAAAAGTTTCAAAGAAAAAGCTGAGGAATAAGTTAGATGTCCACAGGGGCTTTGAAAAGTTTTAAGTATTCCCAGGAATGTGAAAGGTTACACACATGGCCATGGCTATTCACATGCTCAAGAAAAGAACTGAGAGGATCTCTTCTCTGTCTGACCTTGGGCTCTGTGCAAGCAGGAAGTGAAGTGTCAACTGCCTGGTGGAGAATTAGGTGAGACCCAACAGCAGAAAGAGCCCTTTAGCAAAGACGACTTATTGGTTCTAGGCACTTATGGAAATCTCTGCCCAATCATTAATCTGAGCACTAATCTAACTAAGCAGAGACTTAAATGGCCACTTACAAAAGGAATATAGGCTTCACAAAATTAGTTTAAAAAAGTAAAAAACACCAAACAGCAACAAAAACACACTTTGATTTCAAGTTACCATATTATTTAAAATGTCCAATTTTCAACAAAAAATTGAGACATGCAAAAAATGAAAAAGTAGTTTTTTCCATACGCAGGAAAAAAAAAAAAAGTAGATAATATAGTACCTGTCCCCAAGGAACCCAGATATTGGACTAACTACAAAAAGGCATTAAATCAGCTATTTTAAATATGTTCAAAAAAAAAAAAAGTTATGTCTACAGAACTAAATAAAAGTATGAGAATGCCTCACAAATAGAGATTCTCTGCAAAAAGATATGTTAATATTTAAAAAGAATCAAATAGAAATTATGGAGTTAAAAAGTACAATAACTGAAATAAAAATTTCAAGAGCAGATTAGAGCAGGCAGAAGAAAGAATTAGCAGACTTAGGTACCCAGTTTGAGGAATAGGAAAAATAAAGAAAAATGAACAGTGTTTAGAAAGCAATGGGACACCATCAAATGAGCATAATGAGAACCCCAGATGGAGCAGGGAGAAAGAGGCAGAAAGAATATTTGAAGAAACGATGACCAAATATTTACCAATTTATCTAAACATTCAACAAGCTCAATGAATCCAAAGTGGCGAGTCAAATGGACTCATACCTAAAAACATCATAATCAAGCTATGGAAAGACAGAAACAAAAAGAGAATCTTGAAAGCAAAACAAAATTTAGATACTCTCCTGAAGGTTGTCTACAAATGTATCAGAGGGAAAGAGTGTGGTTTTAAGATGAGCTTCCGAATCTTAGTTCTGTCATGTACCCCTTTGGAGGTGAATCAGTTGAATATATATTTTTTTGTTTTCTTTTAAAATATTATTTTTATTGATTTAGAGAGAAAAGGAGAAGAGAAACATCGATGAAAAAGAAATATCATTTGGCTGCCTCCTGCCTGCCCCCTACTAGGGATCGAGCCTGCAACCTGGGCATGTGCCCTAACCAGGAATCAAACCTGCAATCTCTTCATGCATGGTATGATGCTCAACCAACTGAGCAACACTGGCCAGGGAGTTGAGTATAGATTTGATATAACTCATAGGGGATAGTTTTTCTCCCTTTGGGGCTAACAATCAACCAAATTCTCCAACCCAGTTGAATGTTTGGTCTCTTACATTTCTCTCAAAGCAGCAAAAGACTAAAAACCAAATAACAAATTCTCTTTTGCAGAAAAAAAAAAGTATCAATTGATGAGTGATTATGGCTGTTATGTAAGAATGTTCTTTCAGGTACTTGAATAAAAGGCTCAACTTACCTAAATTAACTGATTAAGAGTTTCTTAAGAGCTATTACTTTTTGTAGCTCACTCACAAAAAAATACTAAGACATAGTGATATTTAAATTAAAAAAGTAATTAAAGAAAAAATTTTAATCTCAATAACAGATCTAAAGTACAAATTTGACTGTATTTCCCTCTCTTTTCCTTAACTTAAATCAAGGATAAGTACTAATATAGTCATACTTTTTCTCTTAGTATTAGAAATGAGGGTAACCATAAGGTTCCTGATTTATTTCTCTTCATTAAAGCTCACTGGTATACTGACTCTCTCCAAACACTGTAACTGTTTTTTGCATTTCTATATTGCCATCATATTGAATTATAACAAATCAATTTGGAAATACAATGGAAGAGTAATAACAAAATACATGCTCAAATTCCTATCATTTTCTTATTTTTAGAGCATTACATCATAAAAATTCAAACTGGAAGATAACTGAATAGTTTTTATCCTTATTCCTCAGATAATGATGCCTGGGGGGCGGGGGAGGGGAAAGGTGAGAATAAAATATTTTACTCAAGATTAGGCAAATAAAACTACAGTTGACTTTTGAAAACACAAGTTTGAACTGCCTGCTGCCACTTACTAGTATATGTGGATTTTTTTTCAGTAAACACCTGTACTGTTTTTGATCCCCATTTGGGATTCCGCAGATGCAGAGGGCCAACTGTATGCATTGATCTATATCATTTTTATAGGGGACTTGAGTATCCTCAGATTTTGATATGTGCATGGGGACCTGGAACTAGTACCGAGGTGCAACTTAAATTTTGGGTAAATAAAAATTACATGTGAACTCTTGACTGCATGGAGTTGGGAGTTTGGGTTGGTATTTAAGAGCCCACTGTATAACAATTTCAAAACACCAAATATAAACTAATGAATAACAATATTGGACCTAATGCCCATGGCAGAGAAAAGCTTTTCTGAGTGAACTCTAGTTTCCATGATATATATTCATAGATTTCCCCAAACTAACCTGTGATGATAAGACATTCATTGTGATCCAGCACCTCAGTGAAGAGCCGGGAAACAATCAGCTCGGGGTTGATTAAAAAGCGGATTTCTTCTTGTACAAGTCCTGCACTGGTCACACCACCTCCAACAAAACGGTTTGCAAAATCCACCTATTTGGAAAAATTTGGCATGTTAAATGATCTAAAATATCTATATATATGATACACAAGTATACCACCTCTAACCTCTAATCTTGCTTTCCTTTTCTATATAAATCAACCCCACGTTAGTAATCTTTTCAGGAAGAATAGGTTGTGGTTAGCTGCACTCTTTCCATCTCACTGCAGTTAACATCTCTGCATATTTCTTTAGATCCAAAACCTTAGAAGAAACCTAGAAAATGGAGCTTTTATGCAATAGACTCAATGTAATTATATGGACTTTTGTTTATAAACCTTTTGTGTTCCAAGGACCACAAATCAAGAAAGGTTTTATTTGGAAAGTTCTCAAGATCATTTCCCTACCATTCACTACTCAATTTCCATTTATGTATTTCATAGACTTTAATAATAACTATACCTTTCTTATATAATATGGCAATCAAAAACTTGTTCTTAAAGAACTTTAAAGTTCAGTAATTGACCTTTTTGGGGTAAACTTTCCTTCTATGGACAAATAAAGGGATAGGAACTTTGCCCTTCTAAATTCAGTTGCAAACTCCCAACTACATGAACATTACAAACTATTTTTTTAAATATACCTAAGAAAGTAAATGAAGAACAAAACCTAGTTTAACAATAAAGATTCAACAAAATATTTCCAATTGGAAACTATACATAAGCTTTCTGTGGAATACTAAGATTGGATCCCCAAGCTCCTGTTAATAATGATGATTATACAATCCTGAAAAGAAAGCAAACTCAACTTACCATCATTAATTGTCTGTCTTAAACTTACTAAGCACTCCACAATGGCATGCAATGCTAGGAATTATGGGGAAACATGCAAGAAATGGATTCCAAATTTTCCTTAGATTACTCTATTTGAGGAGTTATATTACACACTTATATACAACTATGCACATACATAACCATACCCATACAAAAAACAACAACAAAAAAACCCAATAACACACACCCAGAATTCAGTAAGTAGTGTTAAGAGAGGCTGATATACTGTGTAGGAAAACCACACCTCTGTATCTCCCCTTTAACTTCACACTGCTACCAAACTCACTACACTTATGACACCAAATGTGTGGTATTCGACACATCAAGCAATTCTGCAACAATCTATTGATAAGTGTCCTATAATTTAATTCAGTTCTGACACTATCTGCTTGGTATCAGCATCCGATTCCAAAAGCTAAGAGTTCAGTCCCACAAGAATGCCCAACTTCAGATGCCAATTTTAAGTCCTAACTTCTAGTTATATATATGTAGATAATTTTAATTAAACTAGTCAATTGATTAGAATTAGTTACCTACTACATAATGAGGTCTTTATGCACTGGGTGAATTATGGCTTAAACTGTTCAATTCAACAAACAATGACTGAATCTTGTGCTGGGAATCATGGGATGCAAAGAGGATTAGAGGAGTAAGACAATTTTACAGCATTTACAATCTAGCCAGGAGTTAGGCACATAAGCAGAATTAGAGAATAATTATTAAAGAACTTATTAGCACTAAATTGATACTGCCTAAATAATCTATCTATCTATCTATCTATCTATCTATCTATCTATCTATCTATCTATCTATCTATCTATCATCTATCTATCTATAAAAGCCTTAGCAACCATTACAACTGAACAACCAAAACGACCAGTCATTATGATGTGTACTGACCACCAGGGGGCAGACGCTCAATGCAGAAGCTGCCCCCTGGTGGTCAGTGTGCTCCCACAGCAGGAGTGCCGCTCAGCCAGAAGCCAGGTTCATGGCTGGCTAGTGCAGCTGTAGAGGTGGGAGCCTCTCCAGCCTCTGTGGCAGGGCAGCTGGGGCAGGTGCAGTGGGGCGGGACAAGCGGCAGCAGAGCTGTGCCCAGCCCCAGCTGGGCTCCTCCCCAGCTGCCTGCCACTTTGGCACTGCTACATTCCTCGGGAGGATGTTGGACTGCTGGGTTCTGGCCCGAGTGCAACAGGGCAGAGCCAGGCTGAGGGACCCCACTGGTGCATGATCCCATGCACTGAGCCTCTAGTAAATGAAATAAAATGAGAGCATGGGAAGGACGATAGAGAGCATTATAAGAGGACGTGACACTCAATTTGGATTTTGCTGACTTTCAGCATGAGGGACATAGGAGAACCCAAAAGTAAAGAGCTGTCTGAGGAGAATGGAAGCAGACTCCTCATGCCTGTTTGTAATCTAGAGTATGGAGAGGGTCAGAGTATGGTGATGAAGTAACCTGGGGTCCAGGAAATTTTTGCTTTATTCTGAAGGTTCTAGGAATGATTCTAAAAAATAAAAGTAACAACGAAGAACCTAGACTTTAGGAAGATAATTCAGGGTTGAGTTTAAAGAATAAACCAAAATAGTATAAAATTAAAAATGGAAGCTGATTAGCTGACTACTGGATAGTTTATACACGCCATATTAGTTCCTCAAACAGGTCAGTGGGAAAGAAAGTGAAGGAAAGAGAGATGCAGCAAAGAAAAAAAAATGAACAGTATTTAGAAATTAAGAGACTAAGTATAATGGTTATCATAAATAAAAATAAGAAATAATGTTTGAGATTAGCAAACTTAATTTTTACTATTAATTTTTACTGGAACAAGGTAAATAATCAAAATAGAAAGATAAGCTCTATCCAACTTATATACTACTTGGTAATGATAAATAAAATACATCCCATGTACATGCTATAATAAAAGGCCAACATTTATTACTTGATAGTTATGCACACAAATAAATACACCAAATTCAATATGCCTCTGAAAGCAGGAGGAGTCTTTTAGAAAATCAAAGTTTCTACTACATAAAAAGTTCCTAATAAAAGGCTACTGCAGGTGAGAAACTGGTTCCAGTACATGAAAACAGCATGTGAGTGCTTCTTTATTTTTAGCCAGTCATTTTCCAACTCACTTTAAAGCTACTTGTTCAGATTACTCAGTTTCTGAATTATAACTTGATGAAAAGAGAGAAATGATAACACTCCTTAGAGGTTTCGTTGTTGCCATTCAGCATAATGTAATTTGTACGCTACACAAGAAGCTTTGTGGCACTGCAATACAATATTCCCTGGCCTCCTGGGGATACATGGCACAAGGAGGGAGCACAGTTAATAGAAGCCTTTATGGTATTCTTTTAATCTACTGAGGTTTCACATTTCTTCTATAATATGTTCCAGGAAAGTGGGGAGAATCTCAACCTTGAATGTTGTTAAATAATTCCTTGTTGAGTTGTACTGTAATGAAAGGTCAGCATTCCTGCAGTGCTAACTAGCAGGAGCTTTGTTGATTTTTGTGTGTATTAATACTCCCTCAGTTAATACAAGACTTTAATGTAGGAAAGAACGTCATCAAGATGAAAATGTGGGAAAAAGTCATATTCATTTAAAACAAATTTTAAACATATTTAAAAATTATTGTTTTAAATAGAAAGGTACTGATTAAATAAAAATTTAAAACAAACTTTAAGTATAAGACAAATATTAATCCAGTTATCCTAAGCATTTTTATTATCTCAAACTCGAGGCCCAGTGCACAAATTTGGCCAGCAGTCAGGGCCGTCTTGCCCAGTCCCGATTGGGGCCGGCCAGCTGGGGAGAGGGACCACAGGAGGTTGGTCAGTGAGGGGAAGGGGGAGGGACGGAAGGAAGTTGGCTATGGGAGCACAATGACCACCAGGGGGCAGCCCCTGCATTGAGCATTTGCCCCCTGGAGGTCAGTGCATGTCATAGGAACTGGTCAATCAGTCATTTAGGCTTTTTTTTTTTTAGGCATATAGATAGATAGATAGATAGATAGATAGATAGATAGATAGATAGATAGATAGATAGATAGATAATCACTGGGAGGAGGTGATTTAAAAGAAAACATGGCTTGCCTTTTTGAAGATTTAAATTACAAACATATCAAATTAAAGGCAACACTAAAAAGAATCTGTATCATTAGGCACTTAGAGTCCAATGCAAACCAGTTCAGTCATTTTACACTGTCTTTAGTTTTGCCCCAATATAGGGAGGGGGGGAAAAAGTAGGTTTACAGTTGTGAGTACTCAAAATAGAATTTATTCTGATATTATTATTTGTTAACTAGAGGCCCGGTGCACAGATTTGTGCACTGGTAGGGTCCTTTGGCATGGCCTGTGGGGATTGGGCTGAAACTGGCAGTCCAAATGCTGCCTGCTATTCCTTCTCATCCAGGTCCTGCTGCACCTGCCATGGGCTTGTGCTCAGTCAGTCCCTTTTGGGAGAGGCTCATGCAGCCACAGCACATGCTCACCAACCCATGAGCCCTGCATCTGGCACCCATTGGTCAGTTGAGCGGCGCTCCTGCTATGCAAGCACACTATCCACCAGGGAGCAGCTCCTGCGTTGAGCATCTGTCCTTTGGTGATCAGTGTGCATCATAGTGACCAGTTGACCAGTTGTTCAGTCACTTTGGCTTTTATGCATATAGATTATTATATTATTTTTCATACAAACAACTGCAAACCTACTTTTGTCCCACTGTGTAAATGCATCAAATAGGACTGAAGAAGAAAAATCAGTCATTCCTACAATGAGACGATGTACAAAATTCTTTCAGAGAAAACTGATATTACAATGTTTTCATAAATGGGATAAGAACAAAAATCACTAACATTTTCTCTTAATAATGTTTGTAAGTAAAAATCACTTTAAAGCAAAGGAAAACAGGTATTCATGTTAGGTTATATCAATTTAAAGCTAGGTACACAGGGTGTTTTACTTGTTGACACCTTTTCTCAAAAATATTTTTTTTAAATAAAGGCAGTAACACAAATTAATAACAAAGATTGAAAGAGGGACAAAATTACCTGCTCTACAACAGGAAAAAGACAGCAAGATCTACAACAGGGAAAAGTCAGTAAGCATATTTGGTTCACATGCCTAAGATGATTACATATGGGAGAAAGGACTTTCTTATCAATCAGTTTTAGACACCTGTCTCCTAGACCTGAACAAGGTTTGTGGCAGAAAACCATCTCAAGCTGGTCATCATTTAGGGCAGAACAAGAGCCTTTAAAAACAAAACAAAACCATCCTGTGACAGCTTGTCAAGCTCATATCCTGGGAACTTCATCCCCTGTCAATCTGCAATCTATGCCTGAACCAAGAGGTCTGATGTTGTCCAGATCCTGGGGTTTACTGTCAAAGGCTTTTTAAAAACAGGCTCATGTAAGAAACAGAGAACGTACACTGGCAAGTAACAATATTACCACAGCTGTCAAGATGATCTGTTTAGTGTTTTTCTCCATTCTGCTATTGTGCTTCTTTGCATTAAATTAGCGTATTAGATAAATAAACAGCTTTCAAACTCTTTTTGCTGTCAGAAGCTTGACAAAAGTCCCAAACACAAGCATGCTGCTGGGATTCACCCACCTGTAGCATGCCTTGACCATTTCCTTCTATGGTACCTTCATAAGTGACATGCAGTCGAGTCAGAGGTTTTTCACACCTACAATGAAAAAAAAAATTCCCTTATTTATTTTTTAATGATAGTTATTTACTACAGAAAATATTTTTAATTTAAATTATCTATTAAAGCCAGAAACAGATGTCTGCTGTTAACATTCTTGGTATAGAAACAAATATTTTCTAATTCAAATATATAAATATACATTTTAAAATTAAGATAATATACTTTTTTGAAACCTGTTATTCCCTACAAAATATTGAAGTCTTTCCTCTTTAAGAATTGAAAAGTTTAAAATATAAAAGAATTAAGATCTATAAAATTTCATTATTATCCTAGAGTTGACAACTTAATAAAAAAATAAAGAAAAATTTGGTAATAAATCACATGTGATTCTCAGATGGGCTCTATTTTCACTAGTTTGATAACCATATGTGTGTGTGGGGATATGTCTTGATGAAAATATATGCCACAGAATATCTTATTTATAGTATTTTTATATTAACAAAATTGACAGATGAACCTACTACCTGTAAGTCACAATTATTTTCTTTCATTTCCATACACCATGGTCACTGAGGAGTTTATGAAGTTCAGGACACACTACACCTTAGCATATTCAATATTTTAAGCAGAAGAGGTTTGAGAAAACAGCAGAAACAAGGTCACTTGAACCTCCCTTCTTCCCTGAAACAGGCTATGAACCCTGTTTCATGTAAGAGGTGCCCTCCTAACCCCAGAGGAAAACAGCATCCTTATCTTCAAACACAAAGGGATCCCAAAAAGAATCCTAACTAAGACAAAGAGGCCATGCTGTCTCCCCTAGTTTACTGTAATCCATCCCTGACTGTCTCCTCTCCATCAAACCTAGTCTAAAAGTACAGACGTCTATTTCTTTAGGTCTTCTTTTGCTTATGAAGACTCCCATGTCATGAACCCTTATATAAAATAAATCTGTATGCTTTTCTCCTGTTAATCTGTCTTGGTCAGTTTAATTTTTCAGACCCAGTTAAAGATCTTAAGAGACTTAAGGAAAAGATTTTTTTTTCTTCATTAGAGTGTTTATGAGGCTTACATTATATTAAAAAACCAATTCCATTTCATTATTTCAATGATGACAGTTACCCTATTAGTTATTACTATAAATTATAATATCGAATAGAATGTAAAAGGAGAAATCCAAGCCCCTAACTTGTATAAGGATAGCATTAATTGGGGGGCGGGGGGAGGGAGAGAAGGGGAATTACATATATCTTATTTAATAAAAGAGCAATATAAAAATTTGACCATACCTCCGCTACATCCACAAGCCATGCTCACCAGCCAATCAGGAGCGTATATGCAAATAAACCCAACCAAGATGACTGAGGCCACAGAGAGCAGGAGGGAGGCTTGGATTTCCCTGGCGATGGAGGAAGCCAAGCTTTCCACCTGCCCTTGCCGGCCCAAGCCTCTGCTTAAGACAACAAAGTTTCAATTATAGAAGGTAAATAAATCCCAACAGAAATGGCTGTGGCCCCAGAGAGAGCAGAAGGTTTGACTCCGTTCCAGGCTACAAAGTTTCAATTGTAGAAGATAAATAAATCCCAGATACCAGGGCCTCTGCTTGGGTTGCCAGGGGACATAGCCAGCCTGCAAACCACCACAGGCCCCTCTCCCAGGCCACCCCATGCCCCTAGGGAACCGTCACCCTGATCTGGGACACCCTTCAAGGCAAACTAGCTGGCCCCCACCCATACTCTAGGCCTCTATCCTATCTAATAAAAGAATAATATGCAGATTGACCATCACTCCAACACACAAGATGGCTGCCCCCTTGTGGTCAAAGATCCTGCCCCATGCGGACACAAGATAGCCACTATAGGATGACCAGCATTTGGGAGGGACCAGGCCTGCAGGGAAGGGCAGTTGAGGGGGACCCAGGCCTGCAGGGGAGAGCAGTTGGGGAGGACCAGGCCTGCAGAGGTGGGCAGTTAGGAGTGACCATGCCTGTAAGGGAGGGCAATTAGGGGTGACCATGCCTGTAAGGAAGGGCAGTTAGGGGCAAATAGGGTGGCAGGGGAGCATTTAGGCATCATTCAGGCTGGCATGGGAGACGTTAGGGGTGATCAGGCTAGCAGGCAAAAGCAGTTAGGGGCAATCAGGAAGGCAGGCAGGCAAGAAGTTGGGAGCCAGCAGTCCTGGATTGTGAGAGGGATGTCTGACTGCCCACTTAGGCCTGATCCCACCTGGTCCCTCCCACGGGATAGGGCCTAAACGGGCAGTCGGGCATCCCTCAAGGATGGATGGAGTGCAGGCTGGGCTGAGGCCCCCCCCTTGCATGAACCTTGTGCACCAGGCCTCTAGTCCTATATAATAAAAGGCTAATATGCAAATTGACCAAACGAGGTAATGACCATCGCTATGATATGCACTGATCACCAGGGGGAAGATGCTCAATGCAGGAGCTGCCCCCTGGTGGTCAGTACACGCCAGGCTCACGGCTGGTGAGCACAGCAGTGATGGGGCCTCTTCAGCCATGCTAAGGATGTCTGACCCACCTCTTCGGCAGGGGGAGTGGGCCTAAGCCATCAGACATCCCCCAAGGGCTCCTGGATTGTGAGAGGGTGCAGGCTGGGCTGAGAGACAACCCCTTCCCCCAGTGAGTGCGATTAAAAATCAATCGAATGGCAGAACAACCAGTCACTATGATGCGCACTGACCACCAGGTGGCAGAAACTCAATGCAGGAGCTGACCCCTGGTAGTCAGTGCACTCCCACAGGGGGAGCAATGCTAAGCTACAAGACAGGCTCATGGCTGGCAAGAGTAGCAGCAGTGGCAGGAGCCTCTCCTGCCTCTGCCGCAGCGCTAAGGATGTCCAGGAAGTGGGCCTAAGCCCTCAGTCAGACATCCTCTGAGGGCTCCTGGGCTGCGAGAAAGTGCAGGCCAGGCTGAGGGACCCCCTTTCGGAGTGCATAAATTTTGTGCACTGGGCCTCTAGTATATATATAATTGTTGTCAATCCTCACTTGAGGATAATTTTTCCTATTGATTTTTAGAGAGAGAAAGGGAAGTAGGGAGGGATGGGGGGAGGGTAGGAAAGAGAGAGAAAGGAAGGTAGAGATAGAGAAACATTGGAGAGAGACACATTGGTTGGTTGCCTCACGCATTGTGCCTGGACTGGGGCCAGAGATTGAACCTGCAACCCAGGTATGTGCCCTTGAGAGGGAATCAAACCCACAATCCTTGGGTGTGCAATGTTCTAAGCCACACTGGCCAAGGCAACAATTATATATTTTTAAAAACAGTTTAGCTGAGGAAGCATTATTTACTTACGGTGATTTGCTTTTTTCCTGATTTCAATGAGTCCAAGTATACCCTGTTTCCCCGAAAATAAGACAGTGTCTTATATTAATTTTTGCTCCCAAAGATGCACTAGGTCTTATTTTCAGGGGATGTCTTATTTTTCCATGAAGAAGAATACGGTACACATTTATTGTTAAATGAAAATAAAGGACATTTATTACCTATATAAGGTATGGTAGTACGGTAGTTGTCAACACAAACCAGACAAACTGAATTCTACAGTATCAAGAATTTACTCATTTATTCAATGACAATCATGTCACCATCTTCTGGAACATCATCATAACAATCCAATTCCTGAATTTCCTGGTGAATTTCTTGAGTCTTCATTTCTTTCAGAATCAGTGGACCAAATCTCTCATGTTTAGCAATAGCATTCTGAGACAGAGCCTGGCGGCCTTATTTTCGGGGGATGCCTTATATTTCACTCAGAAGGAAACCTGTAAGTAGGTCTTATTTTCGAGGAAACACGGTATTTCAGACTGATACCCTTAAACTCAGAAGGTAATTCAATATATGTTCTGATATAAAAGTTTGTATTAACTCATTTAATCCTCACAACCCTATCACTCTCTCCTTTAACAGAAAGGAAAACAAAGCACAGAAAGCAGTCAAGTTACCTGCCCAAGGCTAGTAAATGAAGCAATAAAGATTTAAATCCAGGTAGCCTAAATCAATAGTTCAAGCTCTTAACCGGTATGCAATACTTTTAGAATAAATTACATTATAAACCTCTAGTAAAAACTGAATTATAAGTTTGACTTTTTAACTTCTTTTTAGGGGGTGGGGGGGTATCCCACTTTTCTAGTCATTTTATTCCAAGGGAGATCACCTTTGAGAATACTACTGAAAAGCTAAAAAGAGTACAATCCAAAAACCTCTGGTTTGTCAGTCAGGATTTCAAAACAGAAATCTCAACTCTTGTCAAAGATTCTCTATGACTGAAATTGTCAACTTACAGCACAGTTCTCAATAAAATTATGAAATTGCTAAAAACAGAGGACAGGTTTTGTGTTTGTTTTTATTATATATATATTTTATTTTAGAGAGGAAGGGAGAGGGAGAGAGCAATAGGAACATTGATGATGAGAGAGAATCATTGATTAGCTGCCTCCTGCATGCCCCCTACTGGGGATTGAACCTGCAATCGGGAGTGTGACCTGACCGAGAATTGGATTATGACTTCCTGGTTCATAGAATGATGCTCAACCACTGAGCAATGCCAGCCAGGCAGATTTTTGTGGTGGTGTTGTTTTTTTAAAGCATTCTTCTAGTTTTGTTTTTTTTTTTTAAGCAGGTCTCTCTTCTAGCCCCAGAAAATTACCCATTTCACTGTTCCAGGAATCAAAGACACAGCCTATTCTGGCTCTCGGTGATTAACTAAGCCTGACTAATCAAAAGGTTAACTACAACATGTCAGAAACTTGGTAATCAGAAAGCCTCTAACTTCCTGGAACCCATTTAGCCCTTACTCTTGAAACATCAAGAATTCTCATCTCCTCCTCTTCCTTCCTCTATAAGTGAATGCCCGTTTCTGGTTCTGTGGAGTCTGGGAGATTGATATTAATTATTTTCTCTAACTCACTTATGAAGCAACTAAAACAAAACAGAGAACAAAAGCTAAAAAGGCTACCAAGTTAAATGCTGTCTATCTAAGTTAAGGGGAGTATCTTGATCATATTTAGGGGCAAAATTCTCTCTCTGACACAACACCTTGCAGATCTCTGCAATTTGACCTGTCCCTTCACTCCCAAATGATAGTATATAAATGACTGTACTTTCACATTAGAGTTAAATAAATGACGAATGCAGAGGTGAGCCTGAGCTGAATTAAAAAGAAGCCCTCTGAATGACCTCTAAAATCTACATGGAGGTGATGTGAACAAAACATCTGTATTCCTATTCCAGACTGATTGGAGAGCTAAGAAGAGCAATCCTCTGTACCCTGACCTGGGCAGAGAACATAGCAGATTGTTACTTTTAGTTCTAGGCACCGTATTTTAAGAGGGACCAATGGTCTGGTGATGTGGTCAGCAAACTGTGCTCACAAGCGGCTTCTTGGCCCCTTGAATGTAGCTCTTCCACAAAATACAATGGCCTGTGTGAGTCTATTTTGAAGAAGTGGCATTAGAAGAAGTTTAGAAAATTTGGCTCTCAAAGAAATTTCAATCGTTGTACTGATGATATTTGGCTCTGTTGACTAATGAGTTTGCCGACCACTGATCTGGGTATGTAAATAGCAGAAATAAAGGATTTAGAATTCATGTTATTTGTGAAATAGAATAAATGAATAAGGTTTGTATGTACCTGTGTGCATTGCTAGAAGTGTGGCAAGACAAGAAAGCATTAAGATACATGAAGGAAGGCTGAATGTTAAAATTAAATTTAGTTATTGTAGCTCTAGAAGAACCAGGAATGGGAAGAGGGGGATTATTGGAAAGACAAACTTTTTTAGTGAATGACAGTATTAGATAAAAACACAACCAGCCAAGTGAGGTGAAGTTGTGAACTTCCCACTACTGAAAGTGCCTAGTCTCCATCTGTCATAGACAGTACAGTGTTGACAATATTTTTAGTAGGTCACTTGACCCAATGATTTCCTGGGATAAATTTAATCTCTAATATGCCATTACTCCAAAATGCTGTTCATGTTCTCTTCCTTTCTGGCTCAATTTTGTTTTTGTTTTTCTTCAGGTGTTTGATCTTTTATCCATTTCCCCCTATTAATTACCATCTCAGCTATGCAGTCAGCCTCTTAAAGTAAGTTTCTTTTTCTTTCACCTCGCAAAACAAACATGTTTGATGAACGAAGACACCATGGGACAGCCACCTAAGCAGATGTGCCTTAAATTAACTCCCTTGTTTCTTTCATCATTTATTCCAAACAAAACAATTAAAAACTACAATAAAAATCACTAGCCCTGTCGAAACCGGTTTGGCTCAGTGGTAGAGTGTTGGTCTGCAGACTGAAAGGTCCCAGGTTCGATTCGGGTCAAGGGCATGTACAGCGGTTGCGGGCACATCCCCAGTAGGGGGTGTGCAAGAGGCAACTGGTTGATGTTTCTCTCTCATTGATGTTTCTAGCTCTCTATCCCTCTCTCTGTAACAAATCAATAAAATATATTTTTAAAAAAATTATTAGCCCTGATAGTGTGGCTCAGCTGGCTGGAGCATAGTCTCATGCACCTAAGGGTTGCAAGTTTGATTCCCAGTCAGGTTCACATACCCAGGTTGTGGGTTTGATCCCTGTCTGAGTGGGTACGGGAGGCAAGAGATCCTAGATCCTCTCTCTCTCTTCCTATCCCCTCCTTCCTCTCAAAAATCAATAAAAACATTTCCTCGGCTGAGGATTAAAAAAAAATTATTAGAATGTAAAAATGAGAAGCACCGGTTAACCAGAATGCAGACTCAAAATATGCATTTAGTATGTCTAGTCATATCCTCATGTGCATTGAAAAAGTTGATACACTCTAAGTGCTTTGGAGATTTGCTCTAGACTAGGAAATATGTTAACTAATCCAGGACACTAAAAAATTTACAAATTTGATGAACTTAGATTGGTTATTATTTTCCTCTGTATTTACAGATAAATAATAAGAACAAAACAATAAATTGCAACTTACACAAAATTTGTCAATAGTATATACATGGACAAATCTCAAAATTCTTATCAGGCAAATTCTAGGTAACTACTATTTATATTTTAGTTTAATAAATTTTTTTTCCCATGCTGGCCGGTTTGGCTCAGTGGATAGAGTGTCAGCCTGCAGGGTCCCAGGTTCAATTCTGGTCAAGGGCATGTACTTCGGTTGCAGGATCCCCAGGTCCTGGTCCTGGCGTCTGTAGAAGGCAACCAGTCAATGGGGGTCGGTCTCTCTCTCTCTCTCTCTCTCTCTCTCTCTCTCGGTCTCTCTCTCTCTCTCTCTCTCTCTCTCTCTCTCTCTCTCTCTCTCTCTCTCCCTCCCTCCCTCCCTCCCTCCCTTTCACTTTCTCTAAAAATCAAGGGAAAAATATCCTCGGATGAGGATTAACAAATAAACAAACAAACAAAAAATTTCTCAATCTTGTTCTCCAGGAAGAAAAGCCATAAAATATAAATACTAACCAAAAAAGGAGAGTTTGAAGGAACATTAAATATTGGTGTTCTATTTAATATTAGTGTTTTCATGCACAAAACTACTTACCTCTAAACAGAACTTTGTTTCAGAAGACAAAACTAAAGCAAAATAGTAGAAGTCAAAGGGTTGCAGACTTTGATTCAAAGGCATAACCTTTCTAACAATGAGAGCTATCAATGGATTTTGTTAGGTTCTTATGAGAAGAAACTGCCTCGCAATTAAAGAGTTTGGAAAAACATCTTTCCAGGGGCTGTAAAATAAAATCCTTTCATGGTAAAAACAGTTCTTCTAATTCTAAGATTACAGCATTGTTTTTATCATTACCTTTCCCACTCTGGAAAATCTTCAAGACTCTGTCTTGTAAATGTCACCAATCCAGTAGGTTCTACAAAAGCAATAAAAGGAAAACAAGTTTTGATTTTGAAAAGATTATATATATATTCAGTAAAATATGGGTCTAACAATGGCTATAATACTAGTTTTGGAATACAACAGAAGATTGATTTAAAATAATATTATCCTTACAGTAGGAACTCTTTCAATGAAATAGCATGTACTCACTAAAACAAAAAACTACACAAACAACAGCACAACAGAAGGATGAGAGTGCTGGTACTTTTTAGTGACATTTTCTAAACTGCAAACACTCTTAAGAAATAATTGGGGGGAAAGATGCAAATGGGTGTAGTTTACCTAATAAAGACAAAACTGGATTTTAATCTGTAGACGGACTCTTTCTCAAAGAACAACTTTAACCTACATCTAAAAACTGATGAATGTATAAATATTTATGTTTTATAATAAAAAAAAATGTCTAGGATTTAAAAAAAAAAAAAAAAGAAAATTGTTGGCATGCCTTTGGAGGTGACATAGTCAAATCCAGGGCTTAGATGATATGAAATTGCTCTTTTTATAATTCTTCCTTAGGCGGAAGGAGGAATTACTGTGTTCTAAATGATTAAAGATGACATAGTTTTCAAGTAGCAATACATAAAATCAAAACATAGTAAATTTTAGAGGATATGATCCTTTTTTGTTAGGTTTATTTTTTATTTTTTAACCAGTAGCAAAAGCAACAAATAAATCAGCCAGCTAAAGTTAATTTGTTTGAGTTGAATCAAAGAATAAACTAAAAAGGCCAGGCCATTTTTGTTTTCTCCTTTTGTTGTTTGTTTTGTTAAGCTCTTAAGCAAAGAAAAATGTCAGGAACTATTAGGGATAATGGTGGTAGAGTTCCAATGAAAGTTTCATTCTTTTGGATGATTCTGCATTTCTTTGCTTTTAGTCACAAGCATTAATAACTCAAAAATAATATGGAGTATTTATATTAAAAAACAGAATTTTGTTAACATGAGTTATAAAATATTCTTTAGATGTCTATCTTTAAGAAAAATGGATAGCATATTTAAAACTCACAAGAAGTCAAACAATTCAAATACTAGAGAAGTAATTCTATTAATAGAAAACTAATGTTGGTATCAGTCACGAACATCAGTCAGTAAGAGAAGTAAGAACATTAAATGTCCTTCACATATACTAGGAGAGACCAAAAGAAATTCATAAATGAACACTATCGGCAAAGCAAAAGAAAAGGCATATAAACATGGTTCTTAAGATATCTATAATAATAAAAGGGTAATATACTAATTAGACCAGATGTCTTCTGAACGTCCTTCTGGACAAAGCCATGATGATGGTTGCTCGAGGCAGAGGTGGTTAGGGGTGATCAGGTTGGCAGGGGAGAGCAGTTAGGGGCGATCAAGCCAGCAGGGGAGGGCAGTTGGGGGCGATCAGACTGGCAGGGGCACAGTTAGGGGGTGATCAGGCCGGCATGGGAGCAGTTAGGAGGTGATCAGGCTAGCAGAGGAGCAGTTAGGGTGATCAGGCTGGCCAGCAGTTGATGAGTAGTTAGGGGTGACCCAGAAAGCAGGCAGAGTGGTTAGGGGTGATCAGGCAGGCCAGCTGTTAGCAGCCAGTGGTTCCAGATTGCAAGAGGAATGTCCAACTGCTGGTTTAGGCCTGATCCTGCAGTTAGGTGTTTTATATTAATGTTTTCCTGCATAAAACGCAGGGATCAGGCCTAAACTGGCAGCCAGACATCCCCTGGGGGTTCCCGGATAGTGAGAGGGTGCAGGCTGGGCTGAGGGACCCCTTCTCCCCCATACACAAATTTCGTACACTGGGTCTCTATTAATTAATAACAAGAGAGCATGCCTATTACCTCTCTTCCATAAAAAGGCACCTTTCATGCCAGAATAAGTTATTGTGGTTGATTAAATGTTTTCCTTAATAAATCAAAATGTATACTGCATATGAATCATTAATTTTTAAATACTCCACCTATAAGATACTTTATTTAAAACTATATTGAAAATAATTTAATTCAGAAAGTCCTTTAAAATCTTTCAGTCTCAAGAACCTCATTTCAAATATTGATGTTTGGCAACACTCAAAAATTGGTCCTGATGGAATTGTATTTTATCAATTCTAAAAGCACAATTTTTTATGTATTAAATTTCTGAAAATGAAATATATTTTTCATAGTCCAAGGTATCTAGCCATCGCATTTGGTCTGGATTAAAGTCAAACCTTTGCAGAGAAGATGTGCATCTGCTTCCGCCATAATCTAAGAGCGCCGCCAACCTGAGATCAGTCTGAAGCAAACCCTATGTTGCAGGCTTTTGTGGATCACACTGGTAATATGACTATGGACTCCAAACTTGGTTTACATTCTCAGAGGATATTTTTTCCCTCTCTACTCAGAGCCAACATTGACAGTGGTTTGCTTACTGCCCCTTTGTGCACAGCAAGCTTAACGTCTCATGTATCCTTAGACTAAGAGTGTAGACTTTTGGTGTGCCAGCTTTGTCAGAGAGGTCTCCAACGATTCCCCATTCTGAGTGTTTTTCTTTCATAATGGCACTTCCTACCATCTACAATATCCTACATTTGATGAAATATATGGTACTTTAAATACATTTCTTTTTCCATCTTTTTAAAAAGGAATCTTTTCTCAAATGTAATAACACCTCAGTACAGCAGAGACAGACATGAAGGGCAAGGGGGTGGGTTTGTAATTTAATTGTTTTAAACCTCAAATGAAAGGCTGCTGCTGTTCTTGGGCCCTCCAGAGCCATGGCTGCAAAGGTTTGACCCCCAGCTGGGATCTCTTAATGACCCTGTGGATGAGCTCTCTGCAGCGGCCCGAGCAGTGACAGTGGACAATGAGCCCTTGACACCCCAGCGGTGCCAACCTGGGTCCTCTCTGACTGGCTGGTGGGAGGTGGACTCTGTCCATCGATGTAGTGATGTGGATGAAGGCTATCCTCTCCGATCACATGGACATGTGAGTTCACGATGATGGCATGAATACACCTGCTGTTCTTGGACAGAAGATTCTCAAAGCAAAACTTCCTTCACGAAGTTACCAAAGCCTTCAAACTCAAAGGAAGTGAGTCCTGAATTACAAATCTCTGTGCAGGCCTCAAAATCTCCATAGTTAATGATTGTTCTGTGATTTGAATGGTCTCCTGTTTTCCCACATGGAGATCCTTATCTTCAGTGGTGCATTGCAGCTCTCTGTGGAGTCCTTGATCCCATCTGTAATGTTATGCATCCTAGTGGTTTGAGGTGCCCTGTCACGGCCACCCGACCTCAATAGGCTTTCGGCAGCTGAAAAGTTCCTGGAGACAAGTATGGTCGTGAGGACGCCACCCTTCAGTTTCCTCCGGGCACTGGACTTATGCAAGCATCTGCAGTCTCCTGATGACGTATCATGGATAACACCGTGGACTCTTAGCAGACCCACTGATGCTTGAGAGCCTGGTCAGCTGTGATATGTTTTGCAGGGCTGTGGTCAGCATCTGGTTGATCAGTTCTTGTCCCACTCTGGATGGGAAATCATAGGCTCTAGCCTTGATCTGTTGATCCTCATCCTGAAAGAGAGGCTGTCCCACCAGCAGAATATACAAGGTGACTCCACAGGCTCTGAAAACCACTGTTTTATTTGTTTTTATATTTTATTGATTCTAAAGAGAGGAAGGGAGGATAGAGAGTTAGAAACATTGATGAGAGAGAAACATCATCAGCTGCCTCCTGCACACCTCCCACAGGGGATGTGCCCGCAATCGAACCCGGGACCCTTCAGTCCGCAGGCTGACGCTCTATCCACTGAGCCACACTGGAAAACCACTGGTTTTCCATAGGAATCTTTCCTCAAGACTTCAGGGCACAGCCCTAGTCTGTTTGCTCAGTGGATAGAATGTTGGTCCACAGACTGAAGGGTCATGGGTTCAATTCCGGTCAAGGGCACATACCTCAGTTGCAGGCTCAATCCCCAGCCCTGGTCAGGGCACATGTGAGAGGCAAACAATCAAAGTGTTTTCCCTCCCATCAATGTTTCTCTCTCTGTATCTCTTCCCCTCTCTTCCACTCCCTCTAAAAATCATTGGAAAAAAATATCCTCAAGTAAGGATTAACAACAACAAAAAAGATTTCAGGAGACAAGTTAGCGGAGGTGCCAGCAAAACCACAGTAAGCCTGTACTTGGATGGTTAGGCCAAAGCAGCCAGCTGCCCGCAGCACCCTTGCTTTTACACACCAGCAGCAGCAAGTTCCTGGGCTTCTGGTCCCGGTGGACAATGTCACGCTGGAGGATGTAGTTAACGCTTTTCAGAAGCTGACGTACACAGTGGCGGCACCAGCTTCATCATAGGAGTCTTTGGATCCTATCTGCAAACAGCTCTCCACCAGTAACAAGGTCAAACACAAGGCAGTGAAACCCTTTTTCTGAAATAATGTGAGGGGAATGCACAATGGATGTCTTAAAAGTCAGTATATCCAGGTCTCACATTCTAGTTTCTGATGATCCCAGGCTGAGCGACTTCTTGGTATTGATTTTTGCTGCGTACTCCTGCATGGAGGTTTTCTTCACACGCCTGCGGACCACGGGAGCGCTGCCGCCGAGCTCCTTGCAGAGCTGGTCACTGTCGATGAGTGTAGCCCATGCTGACATTGGTGCACAGTCACCATCACCCCACCAAAGGGGCAAGAGGAGGAGACCTAAATACATTCCTGTAGTTTCTATTTAGTAGACTCTAGAATTTCTATATAAGGTAATTAATAAATTGCAAACCTCTTTTATTCCACTTAATATTTCCTCCTTAAGCCTATAGCTTTACATCCGGAAAACCTATAGCATGTTTCTTTATATTTCTACAAAGAACTACATTATCATATGTAGTGAAAAAGCTAGAACATAAAATGTCTAATTATAACTTATTTTTTCAGTGTGACTAATTTCTAACACTCAGGATGGTTCATAAATTTCTAGTTAAAAAACAACAATAGCCGAAACCAGTTTGGCTCAGTGGATAGAGTGTCGGCCTGAGGACTGAAAGGTCGCAGGTTTGATTTCGGTCAAGGGCCTGTACCTTGGTTGAGGGCACATTCTCAGTAGGGGGTGTGCAAGAGACAGCTGATCGATGATTCTTTCTCATCGATGTTTCTAACTCTCTATCCCTCTCTCTCTCTGTTAAAAGTCAATACAATATATTTTAAAATAATAATAATAAAAAGATAAAAAACAAACAAAAACAACAATACATAAAACTTGAGCCTGGCTGATGTGGCTCAGTGGTTGAGCATCGACCTATGAACCAGGAAGTCATGGTTCAATTCCTGGTCAGGGCACATGTCCTGGTTGTGGGCTAGATCCACAGTAGGGGGCGTGCAAGAGACAGACAATTAATGCTTCTCTCTCACTACTGATGCATCCATCTCTCTCTTCTTTCCTCTCTGAAATCAATAAAAAATATATACATATATATATATTTTTTAAAATATTTTTATTGATTTTTTACAGAGAGGAAGAGAGAGTTAGATAGTTAGAAACATTGATGAGAGAGAATTATCAATCAGCTGCCTCTTGCACACCCCCTACTGGGGATGTGCCCGCAATCTAGGTATATATATGCCCCTGACCGGAATCAAACTCGGGACCCTTCAGTCCGCAGGCCGACGCTCTATCCACTGAGCCAAACCGGTTTCGGCAATAAAAATATATTTAAAGAAAAACAAAACATTAGTTTTTTTCTTCAAATTATTTAAAATTCTAAAATGTAGAAAGGCAAGTTAACTTTTCTACAGGAAACATAGAGAAGCCTAGAGAAGATAAATATAATTTGACTCCAAGGACAGAAAAGTAAACACTGAATTACTTAGGTATAATAATGAAATTCATTCTATTTAGATTTAGAATAGCAAAAAAGTACTCTTTTTTTTTTTTTTAACGAGTTATTATAAATTTCAATTTGGTGTTATGTATCATAACCTGAATAAGCTTTCATTTTCCTTAATATTTCATTCTGTACCAAACACAAAATTAAAAATTGATAAGCTAAGAAATAAATTAACCTGTCAAAGAAGCATATAAAAAATTTCCCTTAAATTCTCAAATCCTAACAATTGATTCCTTTAAAAAAAAAAAAGGGGGGGGGGGGGGAGACAATGTCCAACAGCATTACACTGGCGGTGGGAAGGATAGGGAGAGGTGCCAATACTATAATGCGAGATACTTACAAAAGGAAAAAAATGATCTTAAAATGATTCAATGACATGTTTCAAGACAATCCCACAACCTGGATGACCAGAACTGAAAAGAATGCATTACTCATTTCACTTGGCCAAAATTGACTTGGCCTTTTGAGAAGTTCTGGTTTGCTCTAAAACCAACTTGTAAGAAAAGCCACCCACTGGTAAAAGGTACTATTTATTAAGCATGTACCTTCATTTAATATTTACAGCTAGCCTCTGAGATAATTATCATCATTCTATTAAGATGAAGAAATTGAGGCTTAGAGATGTTAATAAACTGTCTGTAGCTACCCAGTTCCTAGGACAGAAGTGGCAATAGCAATCAACAGCCAGCTGGTTATTAAGAGCACTGGTTAGATATTTCCTACCACTGTCTCAGGTGCTGCAACTAGCCTCTGGGAAAACAAGATGACTGAGGTTCAACAGAGGAAGACAGATATGTGAGCACTAGTGAAACACTGCTTTGTAAGAACTCAAAGGGTTAGTTAAAGGGGACACAAAAGAGAGGAACCTGTAGGAAGACAATGAATTGCTTGACTTCTTCAAATAAACTAATTATAAAAGTCAATGCTTCTTTAAATAAAGAACATAAAAAAATGCATTTCCTGGTCAACATACTTCCTTTTGTAAGTATTAACTTGTTTTTATTCATGAAAACACATTATGGTATGTCACGCTGCTCTAATTTTAGAATATATAAGACCCCCACACACTCATGGCACACATTTATGGATATACACATGTGTATAAAATCTAGATTATAATAAATTATTTGGTCAGGAAGGTGCACTTTGAACACAAAATGTTCTTGATCCAAACTGCCCCCATCAATGATAAAAATTATAGTTAAGAATGAAAGCAATTTACTTTTCTCTGTGACTCTTCTAAAGTAGCAGAAGAGCGTTTTAAGCTTCTCTGGTTTTCTTGAGGAACGTCCTTCAAACAACCTGAAAGAGACCAAAAATAAAGATTCACAAAGAACTAAATCTATATTACTACCAAGTAATAAAAGAAGTTATTCTCTCAGAAAGCAATCTGTAATAAGAGAGAACTAAAAACTGTTTGGATCCAAATGGCATCCAGAAAGGACTGAAAGCAACTAGAACCAGGCCTCTTAAAAGTTGTTCATGGGTGATGGTACTCTAACAACTCTTCTCTCCAGTCATCTTCCTCCAGGGAGAAGGTACCACCTGGTGCCCTAAAGTCAAGTAATCCAGTGAATTAATGCTTGGCTATTTTCCCAATGGCAAATACTTCTTATAATTCACAATATTACTAGAAGTTAAATGATTGAACAAAAACAGTATCTGAAAAAAACTAAAAACTGCAAATGATTGTTTGTGTTGGAGAGGAGAGAACAACGAAGACAATGACATGCAGTATAACAAGATGTTAGAGGAATGACCAATCCTTGGCAATTAAACAAATACACTCTTTGCGTAGTAACCTGTTAAATAGCGCTATCCCTCCACCAGCAACCTAGACTAGTAGTGCTTTAGTTTTCTTTGAAATGATGTGGCATTGTCATTGGTAACAACACATTGTGCAATTTATCCCAAGGGAAAGAAAAGGAAGGCTTTAGAAGCATTTGACCTGAGTAAGTAGTTCACTAAAAGATTTCAATCACAAAAGCATGCTTTTAGGCACAAGATCTACTTTTCTAAAAGCACTGAAAAAGTATAGAGAAATTCTGTGGCTATAAATGAGGAGGAGGTATTACTCATCTGCTTCTAGTCATATACCCTGGCTTTAAAATCAGAAACACTTCAAGGAAAAGTTCACTTTAACAAGTCAAAATGGGTAAAAATTTTCATCAGAAAAGCTCATTTATATAACTATGCAGAAAGGAGAAAATTAATTTCTTGAGAAAATCCTATTGAGCAAGTAAAATGAATTAGAAAAAGGAAGAAAATACAGATTTCAAATGACCTGTTTTCAGTGATTTGAAATTCTGTATTCAGTCAATTCTGAGAAAACAATTTATCTAAATACTTATCTCCTAAAAATTTTAACCAAATGTAAATCTAACTGATTTTTAAAAAGAATTGTGCCTGTGTAATGTTTTATTCACCTTATTTTTCTTAAATGTCTATTACAAATAATCTTAAAAATCCAGCTGCCTGCCCCTGCCCTGCCTCGCAAAAAAAAAAGTAGGGGAGGGATATTTGTCAGTGCAGGTTGCAGCTTAGTTTCTTCTGCACCGTCAACCAGAATAATTTGTTTAAATCAAAATGATGGTCAGAATGAAGAAGCCACTTTTAATTAAACATTCTATATGAAATAAATATGATTTACTAAATGAATACCTTGAGATCCATTGCAAAATCCTTTTCTAGTTTTACTACTTCGTAGAAGAAAGCAGTATTAGTACAGAGGCAGCCACCATTTCTCAGAGGTGAATTGAGGCCTCTACAATTCAGTGAAGGAGGGAAAAGTTCCTCTTCCACAGAATTGTTGCACTATGAGAAGAAAATGGCTTAAGAAATGATTTCCCAAAACATAAAAAGTATCCCTAATTTCTACATGTGGTCAGCTATATGTAAAATTACATAAAATTTCACAACCATGATGACAAATTATTAACCTTAGGAGCCTCTTGGGACTACAGATTTATTAACCTAAGGATATGACTTCCCTGGAAGATAAGGTGGCTACTACCACCACTACAAATGAGCACCACTGTTTATTTTGCAGGTCTAAACCTTAGAGGTACAAATCAAGCAGAACCTCAGTGCATTCTGATTATTCGCTGTGTGTGAGTTTCAAAGCCTGATTTCAAATCACTATGTAACCAAATATGCTTTGCCATCTTCCTGATGGAGCAAGGCCGTGTGAAGGAGTTGGAGGTGCAGAGGAAAGGGGCAGGTGGAAAGAAAGTCTGGGAAGATAAAGCAGGTTTAAAACCCTTATGCCAATTCTCAGACTTCACTGCTATGAATTTTTATAGCACTATGTAGAGCCACCCAGATAAAATGAATTATCCTGTTATGGAAGCAAGTGAAAATATAACATAGAAACAGGCAAACAGCATTAGTGAAAGTTATCAGAAGAGTAATGTATTATCTGAGGAACAGCTCTGGGGAGAGAGAAGGAAGACGAAGGAACCAAGGATGGAGCTAGAAAAAGGAGAGAGAGAGAAAGCTGTGGCACAGCAGGGAAGACTAAGAGGGAAGAAAGGGATATACAGAAAAGGGACTGGAGACCAAGGGAGAGGCTGAGAAACATAAACTCACATGCAAAGACACTCAGAGAGACAAACACAGAAAGAGAGACAAGAGACTGGAGCAATTAGACTTCTCATACTAATCAAGCACCATCCAATTTTATTTTATTTATTTATTTTTACTTTCCAACAACAATTTAAAAAAAATTTAGATTTCCAGGTCTTAGGTATGAATATTTGAAGGCAAATTTTGAGTCAGCAGGCATGCATGCAAACATGAACATAAACTATGCCATAATAACCCCTCTGCATATAGGGAAGACATTTTGGCATTTTACTGAATAATTACAGATTATTAAAGAAAGCAAACAGGAAAAGTTAGGCAACCTCACCTTTGTTCTAAAAATACCTTTTATTTTCAAGGGAGTAAGGCAATCAGAGTTGATACTTACTAATTGGTATTTTTCTTTCCATACACATAAATAGGAACATCTATAATAATAAAGAGCTAATATGCTAATTAGACTGAATGGCAGAAAGACCTTCCGGAAAGACCAGTGGGTGGGGCATCAGGGCTGCAGGGCTGTAAGGCAGCTGGGATTGCGAGGGTTGAGCCCCTTGCACAAATTCCCTGCATCAGGCCTCTAGTAGTTTCATAAAATCTTTCCCTGAATGACATATTGATAACATTACTGGAATTGGATTCCACACACACACACACACACACACACACACACACACACACACACACGTGATTTCAAGTTAAGGATTAATTCCATTAGTATACAGTAAATCAAACCCAGAGCTCTCTAACCCCCACCATATAATATGGAAGCACATGATAATCTGAAACCCAGCCGGAAAGTCCTTTCTGCCATATGGCCCCAGCATTTTCAATCCAGAAGAGGCAGATGTAAAAGCCTCCTGGGTTGACCACGGCTGCAGCACACAATTAATCTCTGACCATCAGTTTCTAAGCAATCTTAGAAGCATCAATGTTAATCACATTGGAAGCCTTTATATGAATGCTTAGGCCCTGAAAGACAAGCAGGAGAAAAGGTCAAGGATATTTAACATACTAAGCAGGGCTGGAAGAACACAACAATAAATTTAAAAAGGAAGACTTAGTATTCAATTTATTGACGTCAGCCTCCCACCCAAAACTCTTAACCATTTTTCTTATTCAACCAACTAGCTAGTCATCCCTCTTTTGAGACTAAATATGCATGAGTGCTCACACACGCATAGATTCCAACTGCCAGAAACTATAATCATAAATAGCAAGTATGCAAAAATGAAAACACAACAACATGTTCCATAATCAGCTTACCAAATGGCTCATCAAATTAGGTACTTGATCTTTCATAAGCCACATAAAAAAGGGGAACTTTGGGTTGTTTTCCATTTCAGCAGCACGCTCAGAGCATTTTGTTCTTGAGAGGAAGCAAGACATAACCAAAGAGCACTGAGTTTGAACAGAAGACAATATTCAAGCCCCAGTTCTGCTGACAAGTCATTTACTCAAACTGAACCTATTAGGATAAAGCTTCCTCACCAAAAAACGTGCATCGAGAGAATCAAAGAGAGTTGCTGCATCAAAGATCATGTATAATCCAGGTTCTTGTTGATTGCTAGTTTAGGCTTATTAAAACACTTGCTATCTCAGGAAGAGGCACGTACAGACATACTGGCTGCTGAAAAGTCCCTAAAACGACTATATAGACTACTACGGGCTTCACCTGCCATAATTAATGTTCAGTGTTCTGGTGACCAAAAGAACACCTGGCAGCCAGGAAGACAAAAGTATGCCTGTTTCAAATCATCAGCAGGCCTGCTTAAATTCTAATTTAGTAAAAATGCCACTGGGATACTGTGAGTTTCAATTTCTCATGGTCACTTTGGATTGACAGATGGCTTTGGTTAATTTAATAGATCAATAATTATTTCTAAGGGTAGTTCTAATTTCTTATTAGCTCTGAGATAATAACTACTAATACAGTTCATTGAAAGGAGGCTGTATAGTAGAGTGATTAAGGGATACAGCTTCTAGAGGCTGCCTATATACTCCTGAGTTTGAATCCCAATTATACCAGCTAGCTCTAAGTCTTCATTTCCTCATCTAAAAAAATGAGAAAAATACCTAACTTATAAGAGTAATACAAAGGTTAAATTAAAAATAGCACAGTAATTGGTAAATGGCAAGTACTTAATATTAGCAATAATAAAGAGATCATCTCATGCAAAAAACTTTTCAGATAATGCTAAGTAAGCTGAGGGGTCTGTGCTAGAGATAAGGCATTCCATAATAGCCAGCAAAAACTCACATCATTTATTAATACATAAAATGCTCACACTGTTCTAATCCATATTCTCTTCATTAAGAAAAGTGGCTCATCCTTGGTAGATTTGGCTCAGTGGCTGAAGTACTGGCCCTTAGTCAAGGGCACGTACCTCGGTTACACGTTCCTCAGCCTTGGGAGGAGCACATGAAGTAGGCAACCAATTGATGTGTCTCTCGATCCTGTCATCAAAAGGTGTAGGGTAGCTGAATGGATAAAAAACAGACCCAACTATATGCTGTCTACAAGAGACACACCTCAAAACAAAAGACACACAGAGCATGAAAGTGAAGAGATGGAAAAAAAATTTCCAAGCAAATGAAAAAGAAAAAAAAAGCTAGAGTAGCAATACTCATATCTGACAAAATAGACTTTCAAAGCATCATGATAAGCAAAATAACCCAGTTGGAGAAATGTAAGTATCATAGGATGTCACTCATCTGTTGAATATAATGAACTACACAAACGGATGAACAAAAAATACAGCGGGGGTGGGGGATGGGATTGGGGGCTCCTATATACTAGGATATAATAGAAGTAATCCTGTTATTTGCAGATTTTTAATACTTCCTACAATCTTTGTGATATCATACAATGTTAATATAGTTTTGGTAATATTATTATATTTAAAATCCTTTTATTCATGAAATATTAATGTTTATTGCATATAATATTTAAAAAAACAAAACTATAACATACAGGGATTCAACAGTAGAGGATTCCGAGAATCAAATCAACAATTTGGAATATGACGAAGCAAAAAATACCCAATCAGAAGAGCAAAAAGATGAAAGAATACAAAAATATAAAGATAGTTTTAAAAGTCTCTGGGACAACTTCAAGCATACCAATATTCACATTTTGGGGGTTCCAGAGGAGAAGAGAGGGAGCAAGATATTGAAAACCTACTTAAAGAAATAATGATAAAAACTTGCCCTACTTGGTGAAAGAAATAGACTTACAAGTCCAGGAAGCACAGAGAATCCCAAACAAGAGGAACCCAAAGAGCCCCACATCAAAACACATCATAATTAAAATGCCAAAGGTTAAAGATAAAGAGAATCTTAAAAGCAGCATGAAAAAAACAGGTACCTACAAGGGAATGCCCATATGACTGTCAGTTGATTTCTCAACAAAAACTTTATCGGGCAAAATAGAGTGTCAAGAAATATCCAAAGTGACGAACAGCAAGGACCTACAACCAAGAAAACTCTACCCAGAAAAGCTATTATTTAGAATTGAAGGTCAGATAAAGAGTTTCACAAATAAGAAAAAGCTAAAGAAGTTCATCACCAACAAACCAATATTACATGACATATTGAAGGGTATTCTTTAAGAAGGTGGGAAAAAATGATTAAAAATATGCAATAAAATGGTAATAAATATATATATATCAACAATTGAATCTAAAAATCAAAATAAACAAGAAACAAAGTAAACTGGTGAATAAAATAGAATCAGAGACATGGAAACATGGAACAGATGACAAATCTCAGAGGGAAGGGGTTGGGAGGTTGGAAAAGATTAACCAAAGATCTTACCTATGGACACAGAAAGTAGGGTGGTGAAGGCCTGGGCAGGGTGTGGACCAGATGGAGGGAAGCAATGGGTGGTGGAGGAGGGGGAAGGGAGACATCTATAATAATCTCAACAAAAATTTAAAAAAAATACACACACACACACACACACACACACACTAAAGGCCCCGTGCATGGGGGCATCTCTCAGTCCAGGAGCCCTCAGGGGCAGGAGGTGGCCCAGTGATCAGGGGAAGGCGACGCCCATCACACCTCTGCTGCTGCCACTGTAGGCAGCGTAAGCCTCGGCTGGCCCTAGTTACCTGAGCCTTGGGTGGCTCTGGGTGGCTGAGCAGCTAACATCTGAAGCTTGCCTGCACCTCAGACTGGCTCTGGGCAGCTGGGGGGCTGAGGGACTCACAAGGCAGGTGCGCAGAGCAGCCAGGCCCACCTGGAGGCAGGTCCGGCCTTGTAGTGCACCTGCTCCCTGGTGGGGCTGAGGGGTCTGGGTGCTGCCATCTTTGAAGGTAGGGCAATCAATTAGCATATTCTTTCCTTATTGGCTGTGGGTGCTGCCATCTTTGAAGGCGGGGCAGTCAATTAGCACATTCCCTCCTATTGGCCATCTTTGCTATGGCATGAGGGTCAATTAACATATTTCCTCTTTATTAGATAGGATTTAAACAGTTTGAAAAAGTAGAAAAAAGCAAAAGTGTTAAATGTTTTTATCTAAATACCCAGTGGTATTTTTAATAGCCAGTTGCATCAAGCTGCATTTATTTTATTTTTAATTTTTAAAATATATTTTATTGATTTTTTTACAGAGAGGGAGGTAGAAGGACAGAGTTAGAAACACTGATGAGAAAGAAACATCAATCAGCTGCCTCCTGCACACCTCCTACTGGGGAAGTGCCTGCAACCAAGGTACATGACCTTGACCAGAATTGAACCTGGGACCTTTCAGTACACAGGTCAATGCTCTATCCACTGAGCCAAATCAGTTAGGGCAACCTGCATTTTTTTAATCCTCACCTGAGGATATGTTTTTATAGATTTTAGAGAGAGATGGGAGGAGAAAAAGAGAGAGAGGAAAAAATACATTGATGAGAGAATCATTGATCAGATTCCTTCTGTACGCCCACATGGGATCAAGGCCGCAACCTAGGCATGTACCCTGACCTGTAATCGGTTCACAGGTCAATGCTCAACCACTGAGCCATACTGGCCAGGCAAAATGTGTTTGTTTTGGATAGATAATGGAAACAGTAATCATTTGGAAAAGTGTTTAGAATTTAAAACTATCAATACCTTCACAGTGTATTATTTAGTTAAATTATATAAACATTTTTTATCTTCCTCTTTAAAGCTATTACATTGATAAAATAGTCATGTCTATACTAAAGTCAAAGTCAATTTTCACTTTTGCTTTTCATCTCAACAAGCATGTTTTTCAGATTTCATAAGATAGTCAGCCTCATGTCTTTAAACTCAGACTTCAGGATCCAATCCAAGATGGCTGCCCAGGTAAACACCTAGCCGCAGCCGCACACAACATTTTCAATAAAATACAACTAAAATATAAAATGGACATTACCCAGAACTACAGAAAAGTCGACTGACTGGAAATTCTACAACGAGAAGCAAGGAGAAAACCAGAAGGAGCTGTAAAAGCCTAAGGTACGGAGACACATGGTGCACACGAAGAGGACGGAGCCAGAGAGGAGGGCGGCTGAGTGCCTGGTTGGCGTTCCCTAGTGGAAAGGAGATAAAAGCTCCGACTGGGTTGGGCCCCAGTTCTGACTGCTCTGAACCCCAGTTCTAGGCCAGACCCCGGGGACCCAGGCTCAACCATAGGGAGCTGGGTTGTAAGGCGGAACCCCGGGGGAGCGGCGAAAGGAGGTCCCGGAGGCACGCACATTGCGCGCAGAGAAGGGACGGTTGGCTATGCCACGGGATTGCCCTGGCGGGAAGGAGACAGGGGCTCCAGACTGCTCTGAACGCCACCTCTAATCCCACTACCAACTGAACTGAACCCCAGTTCCGGGCTCATTGGGGGAGAGCCTAGACTGGTAGCAGGCGAAAATCGAGGGCACCTTTCTCTCAGAGGTGATTGCAACTGAAAGACCCTGGGGATTACTGAGACCCAGGAACCGCATAGGGCTGTAGGCTCCACCCTGAAACTCCGCCCCATCTATAGCTGCGAAATGCGACAACGAAATAGATCACAAACAAAAGAAATGGAGGACAAAAAGTGACTGGATATGGAGTTCAAATCTACGCTTATAAGGTTTTTCAAGAATTTCCTAGAAAAGATCTATAAGGCCTATGAGGATATGAAAAGAGATCAACTAGAATTAATAAGGAATCAACAAGAAATGATAAGGGATCAACAAGAAATGATAAGGGATCAACAAGAAATAAAGAATACATTGTCTGAAATAAAAAATATTATACAGAGTCCTAAAAACAGAATGGAAGATCACAAGAATCAAGTCAAAGATTTGGAATATAAAGAGGCAGAAGACATTCCTCCGCAGAAGCTAGAAGGCAAGAGAATCCAGAAAATTGAAGATAATGTAAGAAACCTCTGGGACAACTTCAAGCGAACCAACATCAGAATTATGGGGGTTCCAGAAGATGAGAGAGAGCAAGATATCGAAAACATACTGAAAGAAATAGTGACAGAAAACTTCCCCCACCTGGGGAAAGAATTAGACTTACAAGTCTAGGAAGCGCACAGAACTCCAAACAAAAGAAATCTAAAGAGGACCACACCAAGACAAATTATAATTAAAATTCTAAGAGCAAAAGACAAAGAGAGAATATTAAAAGCAGCAAGAGTAAAGCAGGTAGTTACCTATAAAGGAGCACCTATATGATTGTCAGCTGATTTCTCAACAGAAACCATGCAGGCCAGACGGGAATGGCAAGAAATACTCAAGGTGATGAATAGTAAGAACCTACAGCCAAAGATAATATATCCAGCAAAGCTATCACTCAGAATCGAAGGTCAGATAAAGAGCTTCACTAATAAAGAAAAGCTAAAGGAGTTCATCAACACCCAACCAGAATTATATGAATTGCTGAAGGGGGTTCTTTCAGAAGAGAAAGTAAATTAAGATAAAAATTATGAACAACAAATACGTAACTATCAACAAGTGAATCTAAAAACCAAGGAAATTAAAAAAAAATCTGATGAACAATATTTACTGTTGAATATAATAGAATCAGAGGTATGGAAGGGGAGTGAACTGATGATTCTTGGGGAAATGGGGAGAGGAGGATGTGGGAAGAGACTGAACATAAACTGTGCACCTATGGATGAGGATAATGGGGGGTGGGGAAAGGGCAGAGGGTGGGGTGGGAACCTGGTGGAGGAGAGCAATGGAGGGGGGGAGGAACATTTGTAATAATATGAACAATAAAAATTTATTAAAAAATAAATAAAAAAATTAAAAAAAATAAACTCAAACTTCACAAAAAGGAGGACTTTGCACTCCCGTTCTACCAATTTTTAGCACACAAAGGATACAATGTACAATAAATGTCCCTGTGACTATCACACTGAAGAGAAATAAAGAGTTCAGGCACTCACAGAGGAGGAGGAGGACAATCTGTCAGGGTGGAAATAACATGGACTATGGAGTAAGACAGATCTGAATCAAGACTCAGCTCTGTGACTTCTTGACTCCTGGACCCTAATCAAGTTCTAGAAACTGTACTTACATTGTCTGCAAAATGGCAAAAATATCACTCAACTCACGTTATTGTAAGGAGTAAGTTAAGTAAGTATACAGAAAGTGTTTGGCCTGAGGCAAATCGCTCCATAAATACTATAGGTTCTCTACATCCTTCTCTATTTCATTGTTAAAGAGACTTTCTCTGAAAACATACCGATTGAAGTTAATGTCTGGGTAACTGGAATACTCCGATTTCATTTTAGCATTTCGACGTGGAAATGTGCAGAAGAATGCATTAGCTAAAAGACTGGCAATCTGCTCCTGCGACATTGTGATGGAATGATTCATCTTTTGTTTCAGGAGTGGTATTGGCTGATTGAGGAAACAAACAAAAAAACAGATAAGAAGTGCAATAATTAGCTTAGCAATTTCAAAAGCAGAGGCACCAAACGACATTTACTAAATGAAGGTAGGAAAAATTTCAGGCCATTCTTAAATTCTTAAATCAACAGTAATACCATTAGAAATATATACTTGTTTGACTGGAAACTTCTAATCAATAATAATGATAGTGAAGAATACACAAAAGTCATTACTTATTAGTGAAAAACAAGATTGCTTTGGCAAGCCCTAACTAGTTTGGCTCAGTGGATAGAGCATCGGCCTATGGACTAAAGGGTCCCAGGTTTGATTCTGGTTAAGAGCACGGTCGAGAGCATGTACTTCAATTACAGGGTTGATGCCAGTCCTGGTCGGGACGTGTGTGGGAAGCAATGAATTGATGTGTCTCTCTCACATTAATGTTCCACTCTCTCTAAAAATTAATGGCCCAGCTGGTGTGGCTCAGCAGCTGAGCCTAGACCCAGGAACCAAGAGGTTGCTAGTTCGATTCCCAGTAGAGGGCCTGCAGTAGACAGTCAATTGATGATGTTCCTCTCTCGTCAATGTTTCTATCTTTCTATCCCTCTCTCTAAAAATCAACAAAAACATGTTAAAAAAATAAATGAATAAAAAAAAATCAATGGAAGAATATCCTTGGGTGAGGATTAACAATAAAAATAATTTTTTAAAAAAATGATGAAACAAAAAAAAATGCAATTTTAAGTTTAATTATTAATGCAGATGCAAAATTTTGTTCTCATTTATATATATATATACTTTAAAAATATTTTTATTGATTTTTTTTACAGAGATGAAGGGAGAGGAATAGAGAGCTAGAAACATCGATGAGAGAGGAACATCGACCAGCTGCCTCCTGCACATCCCCTACTGAGGATGTGCCTGCAATCAATGTACATGCCCTTGACCGCAATCGAACCTGGGACCTCTCAGTCTGCAGACCGATGCTCTATCCAGAGCCAAATCAGTTTCGACTGTTCTCATTTATATTAAAGATTGCTGGACAAAGCAATTTTTCTCTTTTAATCCCAAATAAAATAATTTAAAAATAATTCAATAAATAAGTCTTTTCCTTCTAATTCTGAATTATACTTCACATTGGCAATCTGCATAAGACTCAAATCTAATTTTATGATAGCAATGAACAGACTTATGTATAACTTGTAAGAAGATAGACATTTCTTATCTAATCATTCTAAATTAAGGAAGAAACAGGATATTTTACCTTCAAAATTTTTATGTCTAAAATGCGTTCTAGTTGTACCAAACTCAAATTTATTGACCTTTTAATTCCAGTTTAATACATAAACTTGATTATTGTATCCAATAGGCTTTATTCTATTCTAAATGTTTAAACAATGTGTTTAAAGATCAATTGCCAACATCTCTTTTGCATACCAATTGTTAAATTCAAAACATTCCAGGGGATGCTTTTCCTTCTCCTTTCAGTTAGAGCCAGAATGAAGAATCCTGGATGCTTGCATTAACCACAAACCAGTATGTATGGAGAACTATTGATCACGTCTCAGTAATAAACTGAGAATGAGAATTATACTGAGGAAAGGCAGGCAAGACAAAACTGCAATACTGTAAGAATTAACTTTATAGAAAATACCTATATTGCCAGAATAAAAGTTTGCTAGAAAAAGAAAAGGTTAAACTTATAGTTCAACTATTTCTTTTGGAAAAACACAAAAATAAACAAGCAAATAAGCATAAAGAATGTATTTTCATTTCAGTATCCAAAATTGTCTCTCCTTTTAGGCCTTAGCAATCACTAAATCTAAGAAAGAGGAAATAGCTCAGATTGATCTCCATTTCCCATACATTTATTTACAATCCAGCAATAAGTTTAGAAAAGGTAACAATGTGTCAATGGTTTAAAACAAACTGATACTTGTTTTTAGTAAGAAATAAGATTTTAACTGCCATTTAACAAGTTACAAACAAAAATTATTTAAAAAATTAATGGTAATATTTTAGGCTTAACGAACACAACCATTTCTTATTCTCCTAGTAACCAAACAATATAATTTTAAAGAGAATAGATGATTTATGCTCTCTTGGTGAGGAGAAATGCCTGAAAGCTCATTTGGGGAAACCAGAGTTGTAAATATTACTGTCAAGGTCTAGCTCAATAAGAGACTGATTAACATAAAGATCTTCTCCAAAGTGCATGTCTAAAATTTGTTTCTTTTAATTTTCTTTTTATAAATATAATATACCATTTAGGTTTGATCCAGAGAATGTTAACGTGATACAAATAATTAAACAACAACATATGCAATGTAACATGTTAGCTTTCACTGCAGAGGCTCACTTTTCAGTGGACAGAGCACAGAATTAAAGTGTCTCCCCATTAACAGTTATTTTAAAACAAAAAAATTGGGAACCACAAGTCTGGTTTGGAGATATATATATATATATATATATATATATATATATATATATGTATGTATATGTATATATGTATATATATATATATTCAAAAGCATATAAAATATGAAAACGATCTTTCCTGAAGCATGAGGGGAAGAGAAGTTTACGTGATTTAAGTCTAAAGGCAATATACTATCAGTTATGAACTAAACATTGAATTCAAAAAGCATTTAATTATGTGGGGTCTAAAGAACAAACAAAACAAAACAGACTCGTAGATACAGAGAACAGACTGATGGTTGCCAATCGGGAGGAGATTTTGGGGAACTGGAAGAAAAAGAAGGGATTAAGAAGTACAACTTGGTACTTGGTGCAAAATAGTCATAGTAATGTAAAATACAACATAGAGAATATGGACAATAATACTGTAATAACTATGTCTGGGCATAGTGGGTAGTAGAAATAACATGGAAGGGGACAATAGTTTGTAAAGTTTATACTTTAAAGTTTATAAAGTATATAAAGTCTAACAACAATGCTGTGCACTAGAAACTAATACAAAATAATACTGAATGTAAACTGTAAAATAGTCCTGGCTGGTATGACTAGTTGGTTAGTGTTGATTCCTGGTCAAGGGCACATACTTGGATTGCTGGTTCGAGCCCCACCCCAGCTGGGGTGTAGGTGGGAGGCAACCAATTAATGAGTCTCTCTCACATAGACGTTTCTCTCCCTCCCTCTCCCTCCCCCTCTCTCTAAAAATCAATGAAAAAATGCCCTTGGGTGAGGATTAACAAAAATAATAACAACATTTAGAAATTAAAACAATAGCAGAAACCAGTTTGGCTCAGTGGTAGAGCTTCGGTCTGAGGACTAAAAGGTCCTGGGTTTGATTCCGGTCAAGGGCATGTACCTTGGTTGCGGGCACATACCCGGTAGGGGGTGTGCAAGAGGCAGCTGGTCGATGTTTCTCTCCCATCGACATTTCTAGCTCTATCTCTCTCCCTTCCTCTCTGTAAAAAATCAATTAAAAAATATATTAAAAAAAAAAAAAACCCACAATAAAATAAATAAAAATAAAAATTAAAACAATAAAAATAAATAAAATAAAACTACATCTAATAAAGTAGCATGTTAAATTTGGGGACACCAAGAACATCTCCCTGGAAGAACATAAATTACAAACTAATGTGCTAAATATGATTTGAGTGGTACAGAAGGGATTAGAGTTGGCTGAGGGAGGTATAGAAGGTTTTGCAGGGGAAGTAAAAATTAGAATGTAGAGGTAGTGAAATTTTACTAGGTAAGGAAAAAAGCAAGGAGAGAAAGAGAAAAAAAATAAGCATGAAACATAAGCAAGCAACAGGCATACCTTGTTTTATTGAGTTTTGCTTTAATGAGCTTTACAGATACCCTGTTTTTTATAAATTGAAGGTTTGTGGCAACCCTGGGTCCAGCAAGTATATTGGCACTATTTTTCCAATAGACTCATATAATGGTTAGCATTTTTAGCAATCAACTATTTTATAAAAAAGGTGCGTACATTGTATTCTTAGACATACTACTGCTGCACATTTAATAGACCACAATACAGTGTAAGCATAACTCTTATATGCACTAGAAATCCAAAAAGTCTATGTGACTCACTACTGTAATACTCGCTTTACTGCGGTACTGAAGGCCCTTTAGCAGTCAGACATCCTCAGCCCAGCTTGTGGCTGAGCAGCACTCCCCACTATGAGTGAGACACACTGACCACCAGGGGGCAGCTCCTAAGTTGAGCATCTACCCCTGGTGGTCAGTGTGTGTCATAACAAGCAGTTGTTCTGCAGTTACATCAATTTGCATATTACCCTTTTATTACATAGGGTTTGTTTTATTGCAGTAGTCTGGTACCAAACTTAGTATCTCCAAGGTATGCCCATAACTTCTGATATAAACCACCAGATGAGTTTACAATATATTTATCCTGCCCAATAGAAAAACTTACTTCAGACATAATGCATTAATGAGGTTACAAATTAAAGTTACATAAAATTGGAAATACCACAGTGAAATGCTAACAAATAAAGCACATTCAATAGATCTTAACTGAAGGTAGCAGTATGGCCTGCAGGCATCTGGACATGTGTTATGTGTTGCTATGTGTGTGTGTTGTTGTTTTTTTGTCCCAATGACAAAATGAAATGTGTGAAACCATCCTATACATTCAAAAACTGTTCCACCCAAAATGTCTCCAGACCTTCTGTGGAGCAACAGTGTTAAGCAGAACCCTGGCTAGCATCCAGGCAGAAAGGGGGCTGGCATAAAGAGTAAAAGACAAAGGCAAATGCAAACCACTGTTGAGAGAAATGTGGGGAGAAAGTCATGAAGACTAACCAACAACCTCTTGTGAAGATTTGAAAATATGTTTGCAAATTCTTTGGTAAACCCTTCTTTAACAAAGTAGAGTTTAATTACCATCTCCTTGAGAGTGGGCTGGATTTAGCAACTAATTTCTACTGAATAGAAAAGTAGCACAAGTTATATTAGGGACTTTAAAAAACTAAGTCATAAAAGGCACTGGCACTTCCTTGCACTCTCCCTTGAGTAGCTTGTTCTGGGGAAGTTAGCAAGCATGTCATAATGACACCCAATCAGCCTAGGGAGAGGCAGCCCGTACGGCACTAAATTTTAAAGCAATTTGTTACATAGCAATAAACAGCTACTAGTAAAAAACTCCAGACAAAATAGAATATTATCAGATTATTTCTTCTATTTTTAAAAGTTAAGAAAATACCATGGCTCACTTGTTATGCAACATGCCACTTTGGATAGGAAGGAATAAGTGAGTAGTAAGCCACTTGGAACATAAAACGTTCTAAATCCATTAGTATGTTTTGAAATAATTACTACTCGGTTGTGTTTTGTTTTTGTTTTTTTAACTTAGCAACAATTTAAAGAAAAAGAGAAGTAGAAGTGTGAGTAAGCAAACTTCAACAGTGTAAACTGAAGCTCAGAAATTGAATGCTGCATTTTTAATGTCCTTTTGCACATTCTCCTTAGCCTCTAACCTTTTCTAGCAAAACCTTCATACTCTTTGGCAAAAACTATTACCCATCTTTCTCTTCTGCCTCTTTGACTTTGGCCATTAGAGTTTAATTGTGAGTCACAAGAAAGCTACTAGGAAAGACGTTATTTCCACTAACCTGGGTGCAAATATTTGGCAGACACAGTGCAATTTTCACCATATCGGGCAAAATGGACTGATATAAGTGTTGGGCTTCTGCTTCTTCAAGTACCTAAAAACCAATGAAATATTTATCAGTGCTGTTTCTTAAGAACTTAAATTATATACCTGCTTTTCATAGCATCTCACAATAAGGCACAATGGTGAACTTATAAATTCATTTTCAAATGAATGTAATTCACCATAATGCCCTCTGAAAACTAATTAAATATCCCAAATATCAAATATCTCTCATATCAAAATTCACAAATAAAACACTTGCAAATAAAAAAAGAGTACATTTTGACCCAGGTTATGTCAACAAAAAACTGATTGACCATCAAGAAATCTCTCAGAAACCTTCAAGGTCCGATCTAGCTTCAATGGTGTAGAATTTAAAACCATCGTAAAAGTCCCACTCATTATTTCAGAGCATATAATATGTGTCAAATCTAACCTATTAGAAAGTAAATAGTGAAGTTTCTGATGACCTTAGAATTTTCCTTTTTCAGGTACCCTTGGAAAGTTAAAACCATTATTTCATTTAATAATTTAAAGCACAACAAAGATGATAATCATGGCCTATTGTTATCTGTTATAATTTCCCATCTCTAATAACTTTTAAAAATTACTATAGGTCTTTTAACAGAATTTCATTCTAAATACCAGGATACTTCTTTAAAAGTACTGAAGATAACACCTTTAATTTGGAGAGATAGATAATATTAAAGTAAATCATTTATCTACTTGAAATCACACTTGAACTAGAAGTCACATTTATAATCCAGTCTGATCCTGTCATTATTACAGAGAAAAGAAAACTGAGGGGAATGAATTACCTGATCATCCTAGATTGTAAAGGTCAATAAAAGCAACTAGTCAGACTAGTATTTTTGCCTGTATTCAACAGCTCTCTCCACTTCCCTGTGGGACTAACGTTTGGGATTGATGAAATCATAAATATTAGTTTTCTCAGCTACCAGAATATATATGCTCACAAACATCTATAGATTTCCTTTGCTATGAGCTGAAATTAAAAATACCCACTCATCTAGGGTTTGTTTGTAAATAGAAAAAGTAACAACGATAATTTATACTCACTCCTGTTTTACAAAAAGTTTTTAACATTAAGAAATGTCTTTATATCAAGACTCTAAAATTTAACCTATGCTTACCTCCTCTTTAAATTAGGATAATGGGAAAACTGATATTCCAAATGAACAGAAAAATATTTGCAATTCAGGGATAGATATATCTATTAAACACAAATATATAGAAAACTAAGCAAGTGAACAACACACGACAATTATATATTCTGGGGGAAACAAAAAGTTGTAGAAGAGTGGAAATGCAATCATATCTTAAATACAGTGTTTTTACCATCCTACTAAAAAAATAGACTATTAATCTAATTACAGTGGGAAAATGGGAAAATATAAATAAGGCTTGTGTTACTGGTAATGGGGAAAGTGAATAATAACTAAATACTAATCCTAGGGGAAACCAAGATGACGACATAGATAAACACCTAAACTGCTGCCTCGCACAACTTCAAAACTACAACTAAAAGACAAAACGTCTATCACCCAGAACCATGGGAAAGCTGGCTGAATGGAAGTTCTACAACTAGAAGGAAAGAGGAAAGAGCATTGAGATGTGCACAAGTGCTGAAAAGCTGAGGTATGGAGCTGCAGGAATCGGGCTGGCAGCGAGCGACTGAGTGTGCTGCTTTTATCAACCCAAAGGCAGACAAGTTCCCAATTACTCTGAACTCCAGTTTCTGGGGAGATGCTGGGGACCTAAACTCCTACAGGGAGAAGCTGAACTGTCTGCCATCAAGTTCGAAAGTAAGGGTGGCTTTCTTGCAGAGGTGTGTGCAGCAAACATTGTTTACTATGTTGGGGGATGAGACGCTGGGACAGGAAAACTCCGTGACACAGAGAAGGCTGACTGGCAGCCATCACTGTTGCCACGCCCTAGTCTAGTGACTCCTTGAGACCCCGCCCCACACAATCTACATACCCACCCAAGCTCCAAAGAGCGGCTTTTGAAATAAATGGTCTGCCCCTTTGCAGCTTAACCTAACAAACTGAAGCTCTGGTCAGACAGCTCCAAAACCTCCAAACACCAAGCAAAGAGGAGAAAACTGTAGTTCTCGCTGTAGCTCCTGCAGGGTAGCCTAAAACAGTAGCTGAACTACACCCTCTTGGAGACAGTGTACCTAGTGGCCAGTGTATATCCATAAGTGACATATTCAAAACTCAGTGAGCACCAAAGCCCCACTGAAACTAGACCTGCCCCATAAACATGTCTCCAGTACAGCAGTTCTTCCATTATAGACACAACGGGTTCTCACAGCCAACTGGCCTGGAGGTCAATTCCTCCCAGTGTACCAACAGAAATCAAGGCTTAGCTACACCAAGACTTTGCACTCAGCCCACAAAGGGGTGCACCAAGAGTGTCCACCTCAGGTGATAGGGGAGGCAGAACCACTGGGCCCTATAGGTCACTTACCACAGAAAACCACTCCATCAACACAGGGAAGCAGCAAAATGCAGAGATAAAGAAACATGTCACAAATGAAAGAAATGGAGGAAAGCAAACTACTGGACATAGAGTTCAAAACCACATTTATAAGGTTAATCAAGAATCTTCAAAAACCTCTGAGAAATTTGATGAGACCTCCAATGAGCTTAGTGAGACCTTCAAGGACATTAATGAGAATGCCAAAAAAACTGGAAAAGGATCAGTCAGAAATTAAGCATACACTGTCTGAAATAAAGAATATACAAAAACTCAACTGTAGATCAAAGGACCTCAAGAGTCAAGCCAAAGATCTGAAATATGAGGAAACAAAAAAACACCCAACCAGAAAAACAAAAAGAAAAGGAATCCAAAAATATGAAGATAGTGTAAAGAGCTTTTGGGACAACTTTAAGCATACCAATATTTGAACTACTGGAGTGTCAGAAGAAGAGAGAGCAAAATATTCAAAACCTATTAGAAGAAATAATGACAGAAAACTTTTCCTTCCTGGTGAAAGAAATAGACTTACAAGTCCAGAAAGCTCACAGAACCCCAAACAAAAGGAAACCAAAGAGGAACACATACATCATAATTAAAATGCCAAGGGCAAAAGACGGAGAGAATCTTACAAGCAGCAAGAGAAAAACAGTTACCTACAAGGGAGTACCCATACGACTGTCAGCTGATTTCTCATCAGAAACTATGCAGGCTAGAAGGGAGTGGCAAAAAATATACAAAATGATGATCAGCAAGAACCTACAACCAAGATTATTCTACCCAGAAAAGCTATCATTCAGAATTGAAGGTCAGATAAAGAGCTTCACAGACAAGAAAAAGTTAAAGGAGTACGTCACCACCAAACCAGGATTATATGAAATGCAGAAGGGTATTTTTTAAGAAGAGGAGGAAGAAGAAAAAAGTAAAAATAAAAATTATAAACAACAAAATGACGACAAATACATACCTACTAACAAGTAAATCTAAACATCAAGTGAATAAAAAAATCTGATGAACATAATGGACTGATGAATATAATAGAATCAGGGACATAGAAAGGGAGTGGAGTGACAATTTTCTGAGGGAAGGAGGTGTAAGGGGTGCGGGAAAAGATTGGACAAAAATCTTATACCTATGGATGAAGACAGTGGCAGGGGGAAAGGGCATGGGGTGGGGTGGAGAATCAGGTGGAGGGGAGCTATGGGGGGAAAACAAGAGGAATTCCTATAACAATCTGAACATTAAAAATTTATTTAAAATAAAAATAAATACTAATCCAATATAATAAACAGGTAATATGCAAATTGACCATCACCGCAACACACAAGATGGCTGTTCCCATGTGGTGAAAGATGGCCACCTCCATGTGGACAGAAGATGGCCATCACAAGATATGGCTGGCAGAAGAGGGCAGCTGTGAGTGATCAGGCCAGAAGGGGAATAAGTGGGGGGGGGGGAGGGGCAGACCTGCAGGGAGGAAAATTGGGGGTTGGGGGCCCAGGCCTGCAGGGGAGGGTAGTTGAGGGGGACCCAGGTCTATAGGGGAGAGCAATTGGGGGCAACTAGGCCTGCAGGTGAGGGCAGTTAGGGGTTACCAGGCCAGCAGAGGGCAGTTGGGGGGGACCAAGCCTGCAGGGGATGGCAGTTGGGGGCAATCATGCCTGCAGGGGAGAGCAGTTAGGGTGACCAGGCTGGCAAAGGAGGGCAGTTGGGGGTGTCCAGGCCTGCAGGAGAGGGCAGTTGGTGGGGTACCAGGCCTGCAGGGGAGGGCGATTGGGGGAGTCCAAGCCTGCAGGGAAGGACAGTTAGGGGCAACCAGGCCGGCTGGGCAAGGTAGTTAGGGGCAATCGGGCCGGCAGGAGAGCAGTTAGGTATCAATCAGGCTGGCAGGGGAGTGGTTAGGGGGTGATCAGACTGGCAGGCAGAAGCGGTTAGGGGCAATCAGGAAGGCAGGTGAGCAGTTGGAAGCCAACAGTCCTGGATTGTGAGAGTATGTCCGACTGAATGGGCATCCAGATTGGAGGGGGTGCTGGCTGGCTGAGGGTCACACCGCCCCCCATGCATGAATTTCGTGCACTGGGCCTCTAGCCTTCTATAACGGGAAGTTCATAGATTTTTAAAAATAGCTTGCCCTGGCTGGCGTTTCCCAATGGTTAGAGCGTTGGCCCGCACACTGAAGCGTTCAGGTTGGATTCCCAGTCAAGGGCATATAAGTTCAATCCCAGGACCCCAGTCTGGGCACGTGTGGCTCCCTCCCTTCCTTCCTTTTTTTCCTTCCTGATGTTTCAAGATTCCATCTTTTTATTATTTCTTTTCTATTTCAAGAAATTCCTTTAAACATTATTTTAGGAGATTCTAATGATAAATTCCCTTCCTTTCCTTCCTCTGAGAATGTCATAAAGAAAATTTCACTGGCACTCTCCCTCCAGGGAGCACAGCCATGCCATTCCCTTCATTCTCTCCTTCCCCTACAGGCATATATCCCTTAGCCTCTAAGGGACCCTGTGAGACTTGCAACCAGGGGATCAATGAGCAGCAGCAGCTTGTCCC